CAAAGAAACTGCACATTTTGATAAAAAATAGATGATTTTTTGACGGGAACCCTTTAGAAATCTTTGCTGACCACGCCATAATTAAGTAGCAAAAAGAACAATCCATTAATGATTTTTGATATCGAGATCGATATCTCATTTGAGACAATTGATGATACAACAGGTCGACCGATTACACTTTTGACAAGTCGTACGTTCAGTTTATGCATTTTATCTTGTTTTCGTCAGTGGGAAATATGTTTGAAAATAATTTTTATTCGGAAGAATCCGATGAGAACTTCAGCTAATTTTTACGAAATTGAAATTAAATATACAATTCACAAGCAGGGTCCGACCCCCCCCCCCCCCAAACCCCTATAATTTCCGCCACTGTTTTGTAACAAAGAGAAATCCCATCGACTTTTTGGCAGACATCAATAATCCAATTTTTGCTTCTGTATTTCTGTACATTCTGTGACAAGCTGTCGTTTTTTCAGACATCATTGAGAAGGGCTTAATAGAGAGAGAGAGAGAGAGGGGGGGGGGGGATTATTCTAAATATATGATGCTTGAAGTTCACATCCACTCAGGACTCGCTAGTTTCGCGGGAACGGGTTTAAAAGAGAAGAGGGCTTAAAACAAAATTTATGGTATATGGTGGAAGAATACAGGGAAACATCGAGTGAAAGCATGCGACGTGATAGTCAATACCCAATGACTGGCAATGTATATTCCGCTCCCCTTTCCCCCTGAGAGTTAATACAACCAATGTCACGCGAAAACACGTTTTCTGCCATCACTCGCCACTTTGAAGCAACATTTTTATAGGAAGTGTGTGGTGGCTCAATTCAAACTAATAATTGCCCAACTTCTGAGACTTACAATCGCTGTATTTGCAGATTCTGAAAACTAAGAAAAAAAAAATTAAGTCTACTTACGCTTTTCCAGCTTCAGCTTTCTTATCCATACCTTGCCGGGTTTGATGTCAAATTGCCGTGGTAAACGACATGGTACGACGTTTTAGTGCATTCAGATGGATTCGGTTCGACCCGTTGCTAGGCTTCCCAGATTCAGCGTGTGGTCACGCTTTTGCCTTAGATTTGTAAGCACAACTGTTTGTCTGATAAGGCAACGAATGTTTGACAAAGGTCGCAAGTGTATCAACTTACACGCGAAATTTCACGAACAGTAATTTTCTTCAATAGAAGTAATTTCCGGTTATTTAAGAGTACATTTATGTTGTCTTGTGTACATGGAAACAATGAACCGGGATGCTGACGTGTCAATGAGCATGGTTTTCTCGTTAATGACTTTTTAACGATTTATGAATAAGTTACCCAGGGCCCACGCCACAAATTTGAAAGTTAGCAAAAGGCTAACTTTGTTAGTTAGCGAAAGGGGCCAAGGCTAGCAAAAGTAGGGGGCCACGGCTTCTTCCCCTTTTTACTCCAGCTTTAGAACTACTTGCTTCGTAAAAAAGTGGGGGCCATGGTTACGGTCCCCCCCCCCCCGGTAGCGTGGGCCCTGTTACACTGTCAGACTCAACCCTCAAAGTTGAAACACATACTGTCACACTCTCTGATGCCCAAAATAAAATACTTTTTATCAAATTTCGAAAGAGATGTTGACCACATTTTGTCATCAGATATCATGTGATAAGACATCGGAAAGATTTGACGATTTCTAGCTTTTGTTTGTTTACAATAGCTCTTGCCGAGACACAAGGAAGCTGCTCAGACCAATTTGTGCAGTGATGAAAGGGAAGTGTGCAGCAATGAATCTGAATTTGTGCAGTGATGAAATTTTGCTAGTAATCAATTTGCTAGTAATCAAAATGTATAAAACAACCACCAGCTAAACGAAAGTTGCGATTTGTTTAAAAATTGTCGATAAACTCTTAAAAACTCTTTTATGTTGATATAAACCTAGGTATTGGCTTAAACTATTTTTAGGTCTGTTGTGTGCTGAGACTAATTTTCTGCAGTCTGCTGAATGTGGCTTATTGTAATTTGCGAAATTTCACCGAAATTTCGTTACATGAAATCCACCTTTTATAACTGAAATCGAAGCATAAACCAATTGAAAGTGATATTAAAACCTTGCATTCCTTGTCTACCATCATAAGAACCCATATTTATTGCATTAAAGCGACATGTTTCTTCTCAGTCTCCAGCGGTAGAAGCCATGCTTTCCGAGCCCGTCCCAAAGAAGACGGGGGTTAAGTACATAGTATCTGGTTAGCGAGACACAACGTCAATGCCGCTGTGACTGCAACAGAGGAGACAAAGTGTAATGAACAATTAGGCTGTCATTTGCGAATGCAACCTTTGACTCAGCCCTACCCTTGGTTCTTTGCTGTGCCTAGACAAAAACTTATGATGACGACCAATACTGATGACAACCCCTTTTTCATTAGTAACTGGTAAGCAAAAACTGACCCTCGCCATGGTTGTAGCTACTATTTTCTTATTGGGGCTCGCGAGCCTCTAGAAATTATTGAAATCCTTTTTTCGGCGGCTCCTGTCCTGCTCAAACAATGGTACCCTTCCAATAATTTTAACTTTCTCTTGACACTGCTCCTACAAACATCTAGAGGCACACCAGAGACATTGTACACTCTTTTGTATAGTTTGTAATTGGGGTCTGAACACTGCCCTTGAGCACAATAGCTGATTATTACACTGCTTACCTTCTAACATTTTATGATCAAATTCAGAACATTTCAGCTTCAAATTTTTGGAAAAATAATGAACAGCCAGCCTGAACTTCAATTTGCTGGTCTTATAAAAGACAGTGCAACTTTGCGAGATGCGTCATGAAAACTTTGACTGTTATCTCTGTTGTTATTTTCAGGGGCATTGATATATTGATACATTTGGGGCCCTCTCAGCTCGAGGCATTGAATAACCTGCCCCATCCCCCTCCCATTGGTGTCCCTGCCAACTAGTAGTTTCACATATCTGTTGTAGTATTGTAATTCCGAAACTTTTCAATGTGTGCCTTCTTCTCTAGCCTAATTGATTTAGTTTGCATTTTTCGGAATAATCTGAAATTTGATAATGCTGGAAAACATGCCTTTCAAAATGATCATACATACGAGGGGCGAATCACTCTAAGAAAATCTCGTACACCTTTCGTGAATGTCCTATTGTTTTATCTGAAAATCCCCAGAAATCCTTTTGTTTAAGCAAAATCTTGACGCTATTTGCAAGGGTGAATCGCCCCTCGCATACATACATACTTAAATGCAACATTGGAACAACAAATAACATAATTCTCTTTGCTTTTGTTTGAAAACGAATGAGAACGGCTTCTTTGTATTTGTGAGTGCAAAGGCAGAAATAAGGGAATCTGAAGTTTACAAGAAGAGGATTTTGAGTTTAAAGTAAATAGAATAAAAAAACACAGACAAATCCTGTATTGGCAGTAGATTATCAGGTAAAACCGCTTTTTATCGCATAATCCTCTAATCGGTTGCTTGCAATATGCTTAATAAAGGCGGAATAAAAACACCATTATCGTTGTTTCAAATGCCGCTGGAAAATAAAGTTACTTTTTTTGTTGCTTTCGAAAATCGCTAGCATTAGTGCAACAATGACTTGCCGATTTGCACTCCACGTTAGAGCATTATTATTTTTTCACCAATCTTTAAAAACAGGAGGAATTTTCAGAGCGGTACTGCAAAAATGAGAAAACCCTTTGGATTTGTGAGCAAATGTTGAGCAAATGCCAAATTACATTTTACTTCATGCGTGTACTTGTAAGTGCAAAAAATATCTTACAAATATCCAAAAGGTTATTATTACAAAAACATGTATAAAAACTTTAGTTAATTATTGTCTATAAAAGAGTTTCAAAGCAGGAAGGCTGTTTGCTACCCTGGGTACCAGACTCACTATATAAAATAATAGAGAGTCTGGTACCCAAACTAGCTGTTTGCCTGCCTGGTGCTTGAAATTAAGTTGTTCCAATCAGCGACTGAATAATGAATAATGACGGCTTGTTTATGGGTTTATTTACGAAGTTTTATAGAGGGAGCGAAGAGTGACTCTTCCCTTGCATAGAGGGAACCTACCAGGTATGGACCAAACCCTTAGTTTCGATGCCACTGGAACACTTGAAATACATCGCCTACATTTGATATTGTCAAGGGTGTGATATGAGAGGGAGCCCACACTTCATTTTACTTCGTTCAGATAGTCGTTGTAAAAACAAGGTTGATTTTCTAAGTTGTATAAATCACAAATAGAAAATTTGGGGCGATGGAGTAAGGTGAAAGGCTATTTCACCCACATTGGATGTTATTTCACCCATATTGGGTCGTAGAGGCTAGCACCGAGTGAGGTGCTGCTAAAAATTGAGCATAAAAATCTAGTAGATCTTTTCAAACTTGTTATTGATCGTATACCACCTCCATTCAAAATTTCCTATGATGTTTTCTATATACTTTCCTCGAATCAAAATTTTGTTATTACGGGGTTGACTTGTGTTCCCTTACATTTTGTATGCTGAATTACCTGAAGCTCCTTTTTTTGAGATCATTGAATATGTATGCCACATAGAGATATGGTATACCCATACTGATTTATCAAAGGTTTTCTGAAATCCAATGAGCATACACCAATTCAATTTACCGCCTCATTTTGAAAAATTCTTCAAATTCTTTTGTGTAAACTTTTTGACCTCAGATTTCGATCGAGAGCAAGATTTTAGTCTTCTTGGAAGTTTTCATTATGGTTTCGCTCACGATATTGATTTTATGACGACATAAAAATAAAGATTTTATAAGGGATTTTTGACCCTGATTGGCGACTAGGGGGGTAAAGTTATCCCTGGAATGATTTTTGCGGTCAATTTCCTTACAAGTTTTCAAACTTCAGTTCTCCGTAAAAGCTAAAATACAAGCCTAAACAATATGAAAAATGGTATCCAGCCTAACATTATGGTAACAAAACCAAATCTGAGCTTAAAGAAGTCGTATAATGCAGTTTGGAAAAATTTGCCAACGAGGTCTGATTCCTTAAACGAGGGTAGTGTGAAGCGAGGTTGGTTGCTGCCATCTTGTTCTCCAGGCTGAAAACAGTTAGGCCGAAACCGAAGATGAAGAAGAAAGATTCAGCGGAGCCTGAGACTAAAAGACGCAGGAAATCTACAAGATCAGAGCAAGCTGATAAAGATTCAACTGCAAGTGATGGCAATGTATCTGTCTCGAAACCAAGGTGAATTTAGTAAATGCCTAATTTTTTATCGTGAACATTCATATTTGGTCAGGTCGGTATCATCAATCAGGCCCTCTTTTTTGTGGGATAATGTCAATTTCCCCGAGATCTTGGATCTACACGAGACTCTGCGATCATTTTGAAGCGTGCCCATACTTTTTCTTTAAAGCTTGACCGTGCAAGTGTCACTCTTTCCATTCAAATGGTCAGAGGTAGGTACCAATGGCAGCAAAAGTATTGCACAGGCCGAGACAGAAATGGCGGCACTGCAGCAAAAATTTTTAGCGAGCTAAAATTCAAATAGCTATAACTAGGTATATAAAAGTTGTAAGATGACTCTTTAGTTAGAAAAAAATGGAAAATTTATCAAGGTTTAATACTGAAAATAGCAAATGGAAGAAAACTCTTCATGTCTATTTCTAAATAATATCAAAATTTGGAATAACAATAAATTGAGCCATGATGATTGAATTACCTCTGAAACTGTAAAACATTTGCAATACAAAGGTTTATCTTTGCACCAATTAACGAGATCTTATAAAAATTAACTCAGGGACCAAACTTTCGTATAAATCCTGCGTCAGCCTCATCTCAAGGCTTACAGATGCTATTATTACCTGTTATTTGGCAACATGAATTGTTCCCACGCAAACATAGCCGGCAGAAAATAATTCCCATGCACAAGAAAAACTTTGCATTCTGGCTTTGGGATACTTACTTTATGATTCGGTGTCTAGAACTGTTCATTTTCCTCACTGTTTTTATAAAATATGCTAAACTTTTTGGTTTGAAACTGTTGGAGTTGTAATGGGCCTAATGGCAGCAACTGTTGCATCAGATTTCATCAATAAAAAGTGTCACAAATGTTCAAGCCCGTCTTTTCCAACCAATTGCTGGTAAGGCAACACATAATGCTTCAATTTTCTTAAAATAACAGTTCATCTTTCATTGAATGAAAGACCAAAATTTGTGCAATAAACAGGTACAATCAAGTTTTTCAACAGCTGGGAAAGTCCCGGCATAATATAATGGCCTATAATATGCCACTTCCCACCACAATAATGTCCATCTTGGCACTCCAACGACTCAGTGTGATCTTGCAAATGTTTTTCTGAGTCTATTATGTCAATTTAACAGAACCTGTTACTAAACTTTTTGTTAAAGTTTTAGCAAGTCTCACAAAGGTTTCAAAGCTGCCAGACTGTCCAATAAAAAGTTTATTATTAAGACAAAGTATATATTAATCAGGCCTTTCCCAGAGACGAGGGCTATAGCCCACGCCTGCACAAACCCCACACAAAATAAATTTGCGAGAGCTTTTTTCTGTCATGAAATTTTTCAAACCAACATTTTCATATAATCCACGCAGTTTAGCTTCCCAATATTTTTACTACTTACCGCTAGATATCAGGCAGGCCTTGCTCTAAGTAAAATGAAGGTGCTCCATAAAAAGAGCCCCTTAGAAACTCTAGGCGCTCTATTTCGCACCTCTAAGTAAATTTCCTTGAGAGCATCCTTCGAGAGCTTTAGAAGATCGAGAGCTTCATATTAAAAGCTTCGGAAGAATGTTAAATATGAAATTCAACGGTGATACCAGAAAGCACCATAATATGAAATAACAAAACATGCAACAAACACTATGTTAATGTAAATATATAAATATAACAGAACAAAGTCGCAAAATTGTTCAGATTTTTCTAGATATGTAAGTTGCCATCATGCGATGAGCTTTTATCAGTGTCAGTATCACTACTGTTATGCTCAGCTTCACATATTGCTTCATCAAAACGCATATGGCTTTAAATCGAACATTTAACTTTGTTTCCTTTTTTCATGTTATCCATTCTATAAGAAACGCTAGAACATCTACTACTCGCAAAAGCAAATGAAGAGCAATGCGATAATTTGGACGGAAACGTGATCGCTGATTTGCACAGGCGATTTTAAGTCATTAAGAAAAACAGAAAATAATATTTACTTCAATAGAAGATTAACGCTTGCTCAAAAATCAAATAAATCGCTTGATGCTTGATGGCCTGTATTCTTGATGGTTATTAGAGGGTTATTAGATTTAAAATGATATCGAAAACCCAACGTTGAATTTGCTGAATTTTTTCTCAAGGGGTAATCTTACGCAAATCATAATATTGCGGTCTGTTGGGAAGATTGTTTATGCTTGATCAAGTTGATTCAACAAATTCCAAAAATTTATTTTGCTCCGTGTTAATATTGTTTTTACGTTTTGAGGGGCTCTATAAATCGCTCTCCAAGGCTTCTTTTGGGTGCACTCTAGGCGCGCGCGCTCGATCGAGCGCCTTTCCGGGCAAGGCCTGATCAGGATGTTAGGAAATAAAGAGAAAGAGGTGTTACATGTCTATGTGTTTATCAAATGACGTTATAAATAGAAGATTTCCATTTCCTTATATAGGAAATGTCAAAAATCTATTGTATATATTATCTGCTAAAACTTGCAATTGAATAGGAAGAGGCCTGATATTAATCCACCATGTTTTTTATTGTGTGAACAATAATCCTTCAAATTAACGATGATGTTTGCTTTGATATATCTAAGGTTATCCTGTAGCATCAAATGTTCTTGGAATAGGCAGGTAAAGTATTACACAAGCACTGCTGTCATAAACCTACCCTTAAAATTAAATTTCATAAAGGAAATTTCATGTTTGACAAGATCTTTATAATAAAATAAGATCTTTGTAATAAGCAATAGCACTATTACATACCAATTGATCAAACTGGGCTAAAATAGCAGTTAAGATCCAACGTTACAAATACAAAAGGCAGTAACAAGTCTAGGACAGGTTTGCTCAACTTTTACAATCTTAGGTGTGCTACAGACTTACTTTCTGGTTCTGGAATTTTGAGGCAATTAATACAGTTGAGTTGATGTAATTAACAATTTTGTCACACAAAGCTTTCTAAAATTTATTAATTTTTTTATACAAATCTTTATTGTATTTGGATATATTTTTAATGAAAAGCCAGACAGGCAAGTGCTAGATCAAAACTGATGACTTTAAACTCTTTAAACCTATTTGAGAATAGAAATGGGCACTGAATGGTCTCCTTTCATTGAGCAATAGTATCTACAATTGGAATCCATTGCTGACTGCCAATCGAAATGTGGCAATCTTAAGAGTTTTTCTTTCATGTGTAGCCCAAAGTCCCCATTCCCTCCTCCAGTCAGGTTTTTTCTTTGGACATATGCTTGACACAAGCCAGAAATAAAGTTGAATGAACCATCCTAGCCACATAATTAAACACTGTATTTTACCTAGCCACCTTAGCAATCCACTTTCCTAATGGGAATTTCCTCACAAAAGCCTGTTTATGCAAAATGTTTGTAAGGAGGGGTATCCAAAGTTTTTATAAAGAGGGCAAATTGATGATGTGAAAGTGCCTAGAGGCCAGCAGTCCCTGCCGATTTTGTTTTGAGAAACAAAGTACCAGTTGGATAAATTGCCTTTCTGTAGTGTCGGCTTAACATTTCCATTTTAAACAGGTCTCTAAAAAAAGCAGTAGCCTCTTAAAAAAAACTAGACAGACCCAGTTTTGCACTTAAAAACATTTTGATCTCTTCTTGCCTTAGAAGCACTGGTTGTAGTGTCAATTTTCTTCTCACTTCTTGCAGCCACCAGTACAGAATAAGCACATTTTGTTGTGGCAAAAATTTGTCTTATTCCAAATTTAATCAAAGAAAATTTTCTTCAAAACCTTTTTCTAAAATGTTATCTTAAAATGTTTGTTATTTATGTATTTTGCTCTATCTTGTGATCTTTCTTTCTTTTATTCCTAAGTTTGGCTGTGAGTTCAAAATAGTTTTTTTCAAGTGGGTACATGTAATTCTATGGTGGATGTTGAACATATTGTTGTTAGGTAGATAGGATGAATGTGCAGAGAAATCGCTAGCAGATGTTACTCAAATATATTCATTTATGCAATAGGGAGCCTTCATAGTCATCATAATCACAACCTTTGTCTTTATAATCATAGTCATAATCGAATTCTTCATCACCATCATCATCATCAACAACATAATCATAATAATCATGATTTGATAATCATCAACATAATCAGCATCATGAACATCAACATTGCCCAGCATCGTACCATCCATCTGTTGTACATCTCAACTGCATCACTTTTTTAATAAATATAGAAGAAATAGGGGCTGGGAGGGCTGCAGTCCCCCCTCCCCAATCGGCCACATTTTCATGGGCCAATTTTTCCATGGATCAATCCAATTCCTTACTCAGACTCTATCGTGTAAAACGTGTAAGATATTCTACGTGTAAAATATTATTGTTTGAGTATGTGTGGTCTCCCAGAATGTACCATTAAGAAGAATGCATTGAATGGTATTAAATGCTTCCTTGTGTATTACTTTAATTTTTTGTTTATCTGATGCCAATGAAATAGAAACCCAACACTTTAATATTATCTGAGACGCTCCACTGGACTTTAGTATTAGCTGGTAAATATTAACATTGCGAAAAGCCATGCCTTTTTTTATTTACAACTATGTCTAATATTGATTTATAATTTATTCTCCGCGGTGCGAAGAGAGCTACTTTGGGCTAACTCTTCCAATAGATGCTTCTTTCTCTAGACCATGCATTGAGCCTTTTAATCCCACACACATCCTCTTTGTTTGCCTTTTTCACCGTAAATGGTATTCAAAGATAAGATATTTTATTGCATTCAACTGAATCTTTTGCGAACGTAATTAGATACGTTGATCACTATTTGAGAGCTACATAACACCAACTGATTAATGGTGTTTGTTGGCCAGTTAACCGGCGAATAAGTTGTTGCTTGTATGATGCTGCAAATGTGAGAGTTTTTGAAATACAAGAATGTTAGTGACAATAGTTAATGAAGCATTCCCATCTATAGAGACTTTTATTTGGTGTATTTTTAGACAAATTCTGTTCCAGTTGTATCAGGTATTTAGTTCAAATAAAGTTGAACCGTTTGCCGTAATAGACGAATTGTTGAAACTTACAGAATAGAATATGAAAAGAATCTTATTTTATTCTCACGTAGACCGTGGCGCGTCTCAGATAATATTAATCTAAACCACAAAACTTGCTCACAATCCCACACTTTGATTGAAAAAATCATTTTACCACATTTAAGAAAGTTTGGCCGTACTCTTTATCAAGCTCCTTGTACCTAAAATGTTATCGTACCTTACAGATCTGGAGAGGGAAGTTCGCCGTCTCAGGCAAGGAAGACTGCAAAAACAACGACCTTGAAAGCTGAGATAAGCACTGGTGTGAGGGGAATATCTGTGATGGAACTGGAATCAAAAGAAGCTGATGGAAGAGATTTGTTAGAAGATGTTGAGTCGTATAAAAGGACCTGTATCCAGATAGAGAAATTAGTTTCTGAGATAGAGCAGCTGAAAGCAGAAGGAGAGAAATGTGATGTAAGATAAACTTTAGGATTTACTGTTTATCGATAAGCGGAATTTTTGTATACGTCCTTTAACAAAGATTCTAATTGTTGGAGTGACCGTAGTAGTACTGTAGAAAGGATATAATTGTTGGGGTAACACCCTTGTTGAGAAGAAAAGGAACAAAAAGATTTTTCATTAAAAAAAAGATGTTCATAATTTTTGCAGAGGCACGACTCCCTTGAGAGCTGGAGTAGTTACGGCCCTGACCACAGTTGTAATTTCGGTTAATGAGCGCTAAGGAATTGCGGCGCCTGTGTACTGGCAGTGAGAATGGCAATATCAGTGTTTAATGGTTTTAATAAAAGCCAACACGTTTACAGAAATGCTGTTGAGAGACAAAAAAAGGTCGAAAAAGACACAAAGTTTCTTTTTTAATATTTTAAACCAAACTCCCCAAAGGTACACGATCAATCGCTCCTCAATACCTATTCAAACAAAGGAGAGATGTTGCTATATTTGATCATATTTCATAGAGAGGTGTTCCACCAGTCACACTGTCCCTTGGTGTCCCTTTTGAGAACATCATGTCTTTTTAGATAGCAGCTCTCCTTCTCCTAACTTAATACTTCTATCATTACCCAATTATTACACAGCCTTTCTTAGATATTACCCACAGTCTTTGTGAGAACGTATTTACTTTATTAAGACATGTCCTGGGGACATACTCTATCAAAGTTTTTTATGGCAGTTCAAGTTTCTACTTCACATTTCTTCACTATACAACCATATACAGCAATTTTTAAGTCGGGCATGATATACCTAAGCGAATAAACATTCAATTTTTATAATTTTTATTTCGATTATTTTATAAGCAGAGCAGCAAAATCATGGAAAGAAGAATAAAAGCGACATTGTTGACAACAAGTTTGAAAAAGCTTAACAGACTCTCTCTTATTAGAAGCAAGAATGCAAAAGAAAAAACACAAGAGGTGCGAGCTTTTGAATCTATTTCAACTTAACTAGCCGTGTTTTTAGTTGAATGTTTTTCTGTTTGATGTAATGTTTTATCTCAATTCGACACCTCTTTATGACATTGATACACAGCCACAAACCAAGTCTCTTGAAACCAAATACCAAAATGTAACCCTTTTATATAAGCAGATTTAATAAGGAAAGAAGCATTAATACAAATTAACCAGCAAGTTTTTCCAAGCTTTTCCTTATAATGTCTTAGTTATTTGGTTAAGTCTAGTTTAATCTGAGGTGAAGTCTTATAAAGTCTCAAAATAGCACAGTGATAATGTAAGTGCGTAGCAACCATAGACATGGTAGCCACTGATCGAACGGGTTGTGATTCTAGTTCATTCTGCCATGACACATTCACTTACAGGCCCACTTCGCGTTTTAATTACGTAAAGGAGCACTTAGAGGATGGTTGCAATGTTTGTTATTCAAATTTGAATTTCTATTTGTTTCTACCAAGCATTCGCAGGTAGTCTTTAGGACACTGAGAAGCTTATGCTTATCAAGCAATGTCCTGGTCCTTGCTCTCGATGTGACCACACCTCGTGATTCCTAAGTCTGGAATTACAGAGAGCTGGCGACTCTCCTCACCCTGAGTGAAAGTAATATTGTATTACTGATAATGTGGAGTAAGCGATTCATGACTGATGAGCCTCTTGTTTTAGATGAAGCAAAAGGTCGATGCACTCCATCTAGATTTGCAGAATCTGTTCTATGAAATAATGCATATGAAGAAGGAGATCAAGAAGTGCACCGACTTCACGTAATTTATATTTCTTTTTTGCTACCCCCTTCTTGATACTTCCTCATTTCCTTACTTAACGCAAGACGCAAATTTCCTTACTTGTGAAATGTCCTTGCGCTAATCGTATCTGAAAATGTTATGAGTCGCACCAGATATCTACTTATGATTCTTATTGGTCTATAAACTGGCTACTTGATTGGTCAATTGAACAATCAACAACACACACGTGACAAACACTGCATCTGACAGCCAGTGATTTTCAATTTCTTTGACATAAGAAAATTCCCTCTGTCTTTAAAAAACAGGATTTAACTGGCGTTGTCAAGAAACCAATGCTCAAATTCTCTCCCCAAAATAGCATCAACTTTGATATCTGCTAAAACCACACAACTAAGGAGAGGGCAATTGTGTATAGAATGACTCCATTATTTGAATTCTTCTTAAATTAAAGGAACAGGAAATTCCATTTTCCGTCGCACTCTGTTAGAGAATTGTGAGACACAAGTTTGTTTTAACTATTTAACAGGAGAATATATTCAATAATCGACAACACGTAGTTTATTGTAACCATTCTTTATTTTGGAAATACGACCATAGAAATGTGTGTTGCTAAGAGACCCATAACACGAAATTGAGTAAGTGCTTTATATGCTGAATAAAGTGTAGGTTAAATCTCACTTGATTAGTAGGTCGCAAAAAACACCATGCTACTTTGAAACTTCAATGGAAAAATGGGAAAATATCTTCGTCTTATTATGCTGTGTTTTGTTTACCTGTCTTAGAAGTTTTGTTTTGCTCAGAAATGATTTTGCGTTGTCACAATTATTTTTTTATCTTTAACGCAAAATATTGCCAGTTTCTAATAAAGAATTAACCCCTTTGATTTTTTATGAAAAATGTTAAGAGACCCTTATGAAACTTCCGGTAGTACTGATCCAGATTTCGAATTGCTTCTAAAGAATACCTGTGTTCTTGCTGGTAAGTGCAGAAAACTTAGATTTAGGCCACACTCATGTTAAATTTCAATTACGCATAGCAGTACCTGGACAAGAAAATGTATAGAAATGTATATAATAGATGATTTGTTGAATATTGACTGGCCATTGTGTCTGTTATCGCGTCATTTTTCAAAGTTTATGCAGGGACCACATCCGGTCTTGCAGGTTTAACCCTAGTTGCATGTGGTTTAAAGTCTCATTGCTAACAATGAGCCTTTGCGAGGGTGGCAAATTATCCAGGCGACAATCCAAACAATGGCAGTAAACTTCTACGGATTAACCATAATTGATTTCAGACTGTCTGAAAATGCATTATGGGATGCTTGCGTAGCGCAATGGCTCATTGTTAGCAATGAGTCTTTAACAAGGTATCTTCTTTCACATAGAAATAGACTTCCATTTTTAAGTTGCTGTCTAAAGTCATTCTTATACGTTAATCTATCTGTGTGTAAAAAAATTCAAATTGCTCCTTTTCGACAGCTCAAAGGATGAAGAAATAAATTTAGTCGACGTAGAACAATTCTACAAGGAAGCTCCGCCAGAAATCGCAAAGCCTGTAATTATTTGCAGTGTCTTCCTTTTTTTGTTTCGTTCTTTGGGATTAACGAATCTAGCCATTTCTTACATCATAGCAGCTCATCTAAATTTAATTTAATATAAATCTGGCTACAAGAGTTCAGGTGAGATTATCAGGAGATTAAGAAATGTCATGATTGGGAAACCTGATCTGGAAAGGATAGGGGCTTTTGCACCTCAGTCCATCACCTAGCTCCATTCCTAACTATTAGAAGGCCTTTCTAATTTTATAAATTCATATTTCTATAAAATCAGCCATTCTTGGAAAGAAGTAAGCTGTCAGCCATTCTTGGAAAAATAAAAAGACATTTTAAAGCTTATTTTATTAAGGAGGGGCTTCCGTCTGACAAAAATGATATTCTTGTAAGTTCTGTCAATATTCTTGATTTCGGCTGTTTGTGGAATTTCAATAGGCAGTTTGTTTTTTCATGTCGCCAGTAGACTCGGGCTACGAACACAGCGATCGTTGAAAGCGCTTGGTTACAAATTATAACGGGAGAAAAAACGAGCCTATTGTAAAGTTTGATTTTATTGAGTGGATTATTTACGGCATTGTTCAATTTTTAAAGCTGCTTCAAAACGATATCAGCAATTTTCAAAGTGTTATCTATCGATGAAACATTTTACAGACTACTCAATGAAATTTAAAAAAGGCTGTTGATGGCATTATGAGAATTTGCAGTCGGAGATCCCTTGAAATATCTGTGTCAGCTGATCACCACGCCCCCCCCCAAACCCCCCCCCCCTTAATATATGAAATTATTATGAAGTTAGTGATTCAACAGACTTCACGATGACTAATTTTAGATTTATCATTTCATATTTAGGAAGTCACGAAATCTGATAGTCACCAACTGATGCTTGCCAGACTTGAGTGGGAACTTGACCAAAGAAAAAAGTAAGAATTTCTTTCTACCTGTACCGAACAATCTTGATTTTCAACCTTCAGTGACATTGTCAACATCCGGGCTAATAATAGCTCATTTCCATATTTCATATACTCCATATTTCAAAGGAGGGCTATTAAGGAGGCTAGGATTCTTGTCTTTAGATAAGCCTGCATTCGGAGAGGGATAAGTGCCAAGAAAAAGGGCAAAACCATCGTAAAATGAAGAAAAAAGCTAGATTTTGCGAGGTCAAAGGGGTCCACTGCCCCCGCTACCCCCTGGTGCAGGTATTCTTGCTCGTCTTCAAATTCATGTGAACTGCGCCTGGGACTGGGATCGGAATGGGATAGCCAGAAAGCACCGGGAAACCTGCTTCTTCAATGCTAAAACATCGGAAATATTTTTGCACAACTCCTGTTTATTTTAATTGCTGATTTTATGATACTTCTCTAATAGCTAATTACAATGCCTGCCAAATGACACTACAGTAAATTTTTGAATATTTCATAATGCATCCCTCTCTCCCCCTCTGAACAATTTTTTTTGATACAAAGTGTATTTCTTACAGATAGCTATGATATATAATTCTATAGCTAATGTTGTTTTGGTGGAGTAGGGATACTTTACTTTGAATATTCAAGATATTTCAATTTCCTTAGGTTAGCGTCAATGAAAGATCAGTTATTGAAAGAAAAAGCTGATATTGAAAAGGATATATCAAATCAGGTGGACATGTTAACAAGCTTGAAACCGTCACTAAATGGAATCCTGAAGTCGACCTTGCCTCTTCAAGAAAAGCTTAATTTAAACATCGACTCAAGAAGAGTGCAGTATGAAATTGCATCTTACCTTCCCAAGTACGTAGAAATTCTTCTTGGTTTTGCTTAAGCGGAAAAATATCTCTCTTGATTGATTTGGAATTACCTAAATCTTTCGACGTTTCCTATGGATTATGAAGATTCATAGGAAGCCATCAAGTGAAAAGTAGTTTGAGGTTTGCTGAGCTATGTTATCCAACAGCGTTTGATTCACATCTTGAATCAAATAATTTTGTGTGTTGAATGGAATAATTAAAAAAACCAGTTATAAGGAAATCGTAACTTTTGAAAAATGCATGTGGCTTCATCTTTTTATCAAATGAAATTCAAAACTGAACATGTTGCAAAATATCTCGTAAATCCTGTTTTATTCCATGAACGATACTAACTTAGACATTTCTATTTCTTTTTCACTTCTAGACCTTTCTGTATCATCTAGCCTTAATTGGAAATCTCACGTTTCTTTTATTTCTAACGTTTATCTTAAAGACTTAGGCTCTTCTCTAGAGCACGCAGATTCTTCTCGCCATCACAACTCTTAACAATTTATAATTTCCAAATCGTCCTTCTTTGGAGTACTGTTTTCATATTTGGGGTGGTGCTCCTGAACATTCTCCTTGTCAAAATCCAATCCAGAGCCATTCACCTCAGCAACAACTGCAACCTCACATAGGCACTTCAACCTCTTTCTCATGGGCGCTGTGTGGCCGATCTTTCATGTTTTTATAGATTTTACCACGGACATTGCTCTCTGGAGATTAGAAGTATAATCCTAGGTCCCCTGATGTATGTAATACGAAATACTCTTATAACATATCAAAATATGAGATATTAAGTCTCTTTGCCAAATCCATTATTCACTTGTCCTTTTTTTTCTTCATCTTGTTGTTTATCTTTTTCTTTTCATTATGCATCTTTCTATTCTACTTCTATCCATCTTGTTGCTTTTGTTCTTCTTCTTTATCTCATTTTCTTCTTCTTCTGTTCCTTATTCATCTTCTTCTTTTGTTCCTTATTCATCTTCTTCTTATTCTTATCCTTCTTCTTATTTGTCCTCGTCTACCTCTTCATCTTAGCTCTCTTCATCCTCATCTTCTTTATATTCTATTTGATTGCCTTGAATTCATTCTCCTTCGTCTTTTTCTTTTTCAGTTTTCTCTTCATCTTATTCTTATACTCCTTACCTTTCCTACTGAAATAAGCAAACTACCTGCTCCTGCAATCCCGGACAGCTTTGTCCAAGATCGTACTGCCTGCAGTATTCCACGCCATGTCCCTTCTTCGTTATTCCCATCGCAATCCTTAACATTATAAATTTCTGCTACCTTTGCCCCCTGAGAGGTCGCTATTCTTAAAATGCCAAACATTATATGTTCCTTATCTTCTATGTTTTCGTTCTAGGCCACTGTACGTGCTGTTTGTTCAAGTCAATGCTTTTTGTGATACAGCTGGTAAGAAAATTACAAGCAATTTTCTTTAACTTTCAAAACTTTTATTTTTTACATCTTGACTGAGCTGCAATAATAGTTTAGCTATTCACAGCCCGTTGTAAGTTATTGTGCTTCTTAAATCATCTTCTTTTTCAAACAGTTTCTTAAATTCTTTAAACCTTAGACATGAATCGCAAAAATCCTGTTGGTGTTCCAAGATTTTCGGCAGTCACAGTAGCTAACTGGTTGAAAATTTTTATTAAGTGTTCCAGACCCTAATGTTCTATTTTGTGAAGAAGTAAGGCAAGTTTCCAATACTGCAATGATTTTTTTTCATGTAATTGGTATCAAATTTCTTCTTTCTTTCACTTGAGATGAAAACCGTACCATAAAGAGGAGACATTTTGATTCATTGCAGATCAAGGAAAATTGTCAGTCACTATCGAAGGAGATGACCAAGCTGCAAAAGCATTGTTTGAAAGTGGAAGCGTCGCTCAAGGTTTTTTGATGATTTTTTGTTTGTATAGAATCTTTCTTGTTCGATTTCTCCTTTAGGAGCTGCTTTAATTGGGGGGGGGGGGGGGCTTGATGACGGCAGGGCATAGGGTAGGGTTGTGCTGCTGAGGGTTTGAAATATAGAGTTAAGAGCGTGTTGCTGCTCGCTGTTAATATAGTCGAATACGAGGGGCTTCTGCAATGCCTCCTATAATTGAACAGCGATGAATTCCGACCTCCCCCTACCCCAACTAGCTTCTCGCTACTATCTTCTTGATTTCCATATCCAGAATCTGGTAAGCGAGCAAGTCTTCTCCCAGATTAACAACACTTTACTTCCAAAGGGTTTCTTTCAGAAGAATATTTATCCATCCCTCTGGAGGATAGACTGCACCCAGGCTATACTCCTGTTGTTACGACAAAAAGTTGGAAATACTGAAAATATACTTTGTAAGCAAGATATAGCTTTCTCATTCTTTTGTTTCCATCACAGACTGCAATCGTGCAACTGCTATTTTTTCTTGCTCAGTTTTACGTTAAGTTCTGAGGTCTGTGAAGGGTGGTCTAAGAGGTAAAATAAGCTGGTAGAAGGAGATTTTTAAATATTGTTACGCGGATCTCAACATACGTGGAGCTATTTGGGAGGATCCCAGCGACAGTGTCAAGGATGTATAATCTAAAATTAGGGGAAAAGGAACCTTCGAAGATTTTTGAGGCTCATGGAAAGGTTCTATGTTTTTATAGAAACAAATGATGCCCAGTGATCGCATTCTTATAACCGTCCTTTTCCCGGAGTTGCAACTTTGAACCGTCCTGTTCCCGATAATCCTGTATAGGAATCCGGAGTTGAAACTTTGAACCATTTTGTTCTACACGCCCTAGTTTGCGAAAGTGCTTTGTTTTTACGGCATTCACAACCACTTAACAGACCGGTTAACATAATATGACCAGAATGCTGGGAAGTCATTTTGAATGCCTCCACATCACCGGCTTTTGATAATCTTCACATTACTCGTAAGAGGATTGCTTAAATTGCCAACTAAAAATATTGACTCGCCTTTGAAGATTTTAGGTAAATAGCAGGAGGGGTTCTTCAAAGAAGTTAAAGATGAATAAAACCAGCTGCTTGAATTCGTTCACGCCTTCCATTTGATAATCAATAAGAGCAAATAAATATAAATTTTTCCCCATTACGTGTGTCAATCAGGATAATAACAATTGTCTCGTTTGGCTGAGCCATTTGCCATCAACTCCATTTCAGGGCAAGAGCCATTATGTGGGCAAAGAAAATGAAGTGAATTTAATTCTGCGATGAGATATGTTTGCCAGGTGTCTAATAGACTGTTCTTTTGTTGAACAATTCCCTTCCTTTGATATGACTTGTTCCCAGATTTGAGGAATTTTCGTCGGTTTTATTTTTCCCCCTGCCATATCCAGCTTACATCTTTATTGGAAACTCTCAAAATATTTTTGTTACATTCGCCATTCATTATTTATGATCCGATTCCATAGAAAGCTCCTTCTGATCAAAACTTTGAAAGCTTTATCGACTGTTGTTGTTATGTTCTGTAAAACCTCATACAAACTGTCTTTGCCATTGGTCTTACTGATTTCGTCTTCTGTCTGTGAAATAGAAGAGGATGAGGAATCAGACATCGATGATAACAATGAAACAGGTGACAAAGAAGAAAACAAACGGAGGGTGAGGACATATGATACTATTTCTGTACTTACGTAAAGATATCAGATATGCTCAACGACATACCTTTGTTTGTTTACTCTCTTTAGCTACATAGGGAAGGCACCCATCTATATTTGTAATTCGAATCAATTTGAAGACTATATGAAAAGTTGTATTTAGCTTTCAATGTCAGAGAAATTTGTCTGAAAAATTTCTTTTGAATTTTGGAATTTCTGTATAGCTATTAAAGCAGTAGCAGAACAGTCGTCTGATACTCGTATTGAGCTTAAAACTCGAAGTTGCAACTTGGAACCGTCCTGTTCTATACACCAAAAGCGTGTCCAGCTCTGCCTATGCGGCAACGAGCACTTTATGACCGCCCAGTAAATATGAATTTTCATTAGCTAGAAAAACATTAACAGAATTGATCTTAACCTGGTTTTCAGTCTTGTGTATTGTGGTTTAAACCTTGAAATCTGGTTTTATTTCTCTAGAAACACAGAAACGAAAAGGAAAAGGCAAGACTAGAAGAGAAGAGAAGAAGCATTTTGAGGAAACACCCGCTTGAAATCGATTTAGGAATTGCATGTCAAGGTTTGATGCTTGTATCTATGAATCACATGTTTATGATTATTAGCTACACCTTAAACATGATTACCACCTTATCTATTCCTACCAATTCAAGCAACTTTCAATATTTTGACTTCCAATGTTTTCAAGTAACCCTGATATTAAAGCAACTGGGCCTGGCCCATATTGTAATACCAAAAAATGGTAAATAAATTGTAAATTTTGATTTTGTTTGTCCCCTGAAAGGTAGCTTCGGCTAGTTGGTTTACCCTACCTTAAGGATATAACAGAGCCCGGAAAACATTGCGACCAATTAAGACCGCAAGGAGGGCTCTGGAATATACAATAAAATTAAACTTTAAAAACACGAAGGCCTGCTGTTTTTTCCAGCTATGTTTTTCGTTCAGTTATCAAAATAGAAACAAAACGTTTACAACCTTTTCTCTCTGCATATTTCTAGTGCCGTTTTGCCATCAACGTATTTTTATGCTACCAATAGTATTCCTCCTTTTTTGCCTGTCAGAGAGATCTTTCTCAGCGTGTTTTTCCAATAGAAGCAATGCATTATCTATTGTCTGACTTGACAGTTTTTCACTGTTTTCTGTTTTCTGTTGTAAGCAGTCAACCTTGCTGCCTATTAACATTCAATTCATTCTGAAATAAATCATGTAATTTTTGCTAATCTTTTCAATAGATGCTGTTCAAGTCAGTCTAAGATTTTCATACCTGACAGAGCTGCGAATAATTACAGTATCTACAACAATAGAGATCCCCAAGGAAACTTCATCTTCAGTACCCATCCAATCTACAAGGTAATTAGTTGTTTGATAGTTTATATCACATTTTCCCAAACTTTTAAAACAAAATTTCACTGAACCCTTGATTTCTTGACGACTGTCTTTACATGTACAAGTAAAATGTTTATTGATAATGATGCAGAAAAGATGCTGTTTTAACATACATCTATCTATGGCCCGGCAAAGAACTACCAAGTATATCTTTTACAAGAAGAAAATTTTAGTATAGTCAGATTCTCGTTCGTTTCAAGTGTTCTCAGATGCTTCATGCCAGTTGAACTCTTAAAGCAGTTGTTTTCAATATTGCGATACTCATATAATGAATTGCTCTGTAGTTCAGTGAAGTGAATCCCCGACAAGAATTTTTAAGAACCTAAGGAGCATTTCTTTATCAAGCTCCTTGTGTTTAAGAACCCATTTTTGTCTAACTAATCAAAAAGTTTATTTAAGTGGGCATTAACCTGAATCAATTATTGTCACATGATACACCTATTGCTAGAATTACAAAATGAATTCTTCATTAAAATATACATTCCGTGCTATAACCAAATGCAAAAGCCTTTGACCCTGCAACTACTGTATGCCTTGTATAGCAAAAACTGACTTGTTTCTGGCAGGAGATTTGCTGTAGTTTACTGTTCAGATAAAAATGTTATATGTTTTAGTTATTTTTCAATATTTCCTTTGATTTGCTTTATTTTTCAGTTCATTGCTGTCAGCGGATACCATCCTTAGAAATCTTTTTGAGGACAAAGATGACGGCGAGGACAGTCCCAACCCGTGCAACCAATATCAGTTAGAGAAACTGGGGTTTGTAAAACTTTTGGCTTTATACTCAAGTCAAATTCCTGTTCATTAACTGCGAAGGTACATACCCCAATTAGCCTAAAGAAGCATACAGACAGCATGATATATTGTTAGCAATGGGTAGCTGCCTGCGTGTGGAGCAAAAACAATTCTACACGTATGTCCTGCTGAACTTGTTACGATGTTTAAAGTGATAAGCATATTGCAAGAATGGACGGCAGTGGTTATAAAATACACGATTGTGTAGCAGCGCGCGTTACGGGCTTGTACGAATACAGACACCCAGAAATCATTTTGAAGTGTAGTAGGAGTGATGGCTTGGCCAGAGGTATTACGATCGATATGAGATACATAGAAATATTTTCTCGGGTTTTCCACTGGCTTAGGCACAGCTTTCCGACGTCTGACAAAAAATACCACATTCGGAACAAAATTGTTTTTCTATTGGCTACTCATGTGAATGTCAAATTGGTCATCTCTGAAGTATAATATATTACTTGCTTATTCAGCGAATATAGAAGACAGAATAGAAGTAAAATGTGTTCAACGATACATTCAGCTTAGCTCTAGTACGAGTCTTTAACTTCTCTGCTTATCTCATTTTGATCTCGATTCTTTTATCTCATTTTCAGGTTGCAAAGTTTTTCTAATTATATCGCGGATATTGGTCGACCTTATCACTGGGTCCAGAGGCTTGCAGGCTTGAACTATTTACCAAAAAGCCCCCAAGAGGTATGTAGTCATGTGACGTCATTTTAGATAATCAAAAATTAGCCACCATAGTCACCATTCTAATTGTTTTTAACAACATTGTTTCTTACTTCCGCCTGCTTTTTCTGTTCTAGAGTTCTAAGAATAATGACGTCATTCACTCCCATAATATCGAATCAATCGTAACAGCAATCAAGTCAAGAATTGCAGGTCGACTGTCACTCCAAAGCCAACTAAGTGATTTAGGTAAGGGGATAAGGTTTTTTCGATTCACAGTCATGGCAGTTATGTGCCTAAAACATGCTTTTGCAGTAGAGATGCGTTGGCAGGGCGATGTAAAACAAGAACGCATTTCCCTTTATCGGTCTTTCATGTGGTCACAAAGTATGTATGTGAGCTGTCGAGCCACCCTTCCACACCCCTTTCTTAAACATTCTTGCAACATAACTGAACTTGGGGCAACAATTGACGGATTCCAGTCACCAACTATAAGAATTTCTTTTGACCAAAATATTGCGGTAACTATGTTTAATACATGACTGGAATAAATTTATTCTTGGTTCTTTTCATTGAGAAAAATAAGCACGATTTGAAATGTTTATACTCTGAAGAGACATTCGTATGTTTAAGGATCATCAGACTAAAAGTGCTGTACTATGAAGTTTTATTTTGTCTGTTTTTTTTTGCTATTTAGAAAATTTTCTTGGTTGCAAGTCGGGAAAGGTGTTTTATAATTCAGTTCTCAGATTATTGGCTGGCCAAAACAGCCATGATTTGGTCATATTATTGGAACGGTCTTTGTTAACCTAGAAAACATTCCATTTTCAGAAAAACTTATTGTTCCTGAGGGCAAGTGCATGGGACGGTTATTTCCTCAGTCGACAAAAACAAAGTTGGTTCAGTGGAAATGCATCACATATTCTGATGTTTTGGTAAGAATAGACTTACGTTCTACGTACAATTTGCAGCCCCTGCTCTTTCGACTTTTTATTTCAATCAATGATTTGAAACACTTAGATATTGAATCCAAGAAAGCACACAACAAACCTAGCAAAAGACATCCACAAAAAGCTCAGCCACATTTGTATTGAGTGCTGCATTTTTCCTGTTGAATGTACGCATGTAAAGACTCTCTTGCATTTTCAGGAGCTACATTTTGTTGAAGATCTTATCACAGCTGACATGATCAACGAAAACGATATATTCTACTATGCAGTTTTTAGAAGAGAACAAGGTATTGAGTGATTTCTTTTTAAGAATATTGAGGTATATTAAGGTATTGAGTGATCTGAAGAGCGACCGTTTTCAGCATTGATAACAGGGGTGGAAATGAGATATTTTAATGGACTATTGGCGCAAGAGTTCAGAGATGTTGAGTTCCACTGTCGAAGGAGGTTTATAACCTTGTTTATAATTCTCTAGGTAACTTCATCTTTCCTGACCCTATGATCTTTCACCGTTGCCATAAGTTAATGAATTATTTTCTAATCAATTGAAATAGAGTTAAGTTAGTAAAAAAAAATCTTTTTGTAATATCAAAACCATTTCTTCGTTTATAAAACCTTTATATTGTACTCCCTTTGTACAGTTCCCACTTTGTTAATCCTCACAGTCTTTTGAGAGTTGTGTTTTTAAGAGTATCAAAACTTCTCAGAAACTGGGAATAGCTCTTAAAATGATATTGTTTTTTCTGGGTTCAGTACAATGTCAGCATAAATCGGAAGCCTGTAGATGTTATTTGAGTTACTACAACATGCAATATTCTCCAAATTCGATACAGCACTCAAGCACATTTCAAAACTTGGTCTATACGATCCCTTATACGCGAGAACGTGAGGAATAGACAGTAACATTGTTATTTATCTTTTCTAGAAGAAGTAAAGGTCATTATCTCCATTGGTGTAAATTATCCAAGTCAGCCGCCTCTTTTTGCGTTGTCTTTTGATCAGAAGCGAGGCAAGCCAACCAACAACATAGCTAAGGTATGATAGCAGCATTAAAAAATTATTTGTATTAAATGTATTCAAAAAGTTGAATCCCGTTAAGTCGTTCCCGAGATAACTCGGACTTTCTCTAAGTCGGACTGATTTTCAATGACCTCTGGATATCCCTGCTTTATTCAAGTCGAAAATCGTACATTCGCTAAGTCGGATCACTGCCTTGACCGCCTTGAGATCCGACTTAACGGGATTCAGCTGTAGATTGAAAAGCAGAAAAGTAGCCTCGCGTAGTATTTTGGATAAGCTCCATTCGCACAAATGTTGCATTTGTTTCTGATATGAGACCTTTTTGTGGCAAGGCCTTGCGGATATATTAAAAGAAACGCTTGTTTAGTGTTCACTCGAAATGTCATAAGTTCATTTGTTTCTTTTTGTAGCTGGTGTAAATGCTGCTCGATATTCTGAAGGCAGAACGAATTATGATAAGAATGAGGCTTGAGGGAAAATTTGATTGAAATGAAATTTATGTGGAAAATTGTAGACTACCGTCTGCTTTTGGATATTAAATAGACTCTAGTTCTTTCAAACCAATTATTTTTATTAAGACAAAAAGTTCTAACTGAAGTTAGTCGAAGTTTGTCTCTCCCTTGTTCCCTCCCTTTTTCCCTCGCTATTTTTCTCTCTCTTCGTCTCTTCCATCTCCCTCCCACCCTCCCACCTTCCATATGTTCTTTCTCCCTCCCCTTCTTCTACCCAACCTCTTCATCCTCTTCCTTACACTAATTTATTTGCTAAATCATTAATCTCTTTGACTTGCAGGAGATTGAGCGGGAACTAAATCTAAATTTCTTGGATTTGACAAACATCGATCATCCGAATCTGTTATTGACGAACCAAATACATAAACTTGCGGTAAGAGCTTTTCTATTATCTAGCTCGAGTCTAGGCCCTCCATTACCTTACTAATCAGTAATGTAAAAAAAACTAGCAAGGCTCCAGTAACCTACATTGAGGAAGCCCTCGACAATCTTCGACGAAACTATGAGAACAAGCCACAAATGGAAGATACGGGGTAGCCTGCGTGCAGACTTTACTTTCTGTTGTGAAGGAGAGCAAAGACAGAACTTGTGAAGTAGCGAAGTAGCTAAGTAGTTCCGTCCTTACACTCCTTCAAACGGAAAGTAAAGTCTGCACGCAGACTAGATAGTGGGGGTGGTTGATAGTCTTTTTTAGAGTTTTTGTTTCATAAGGAAATTGATTTGAGTTATCTTGTGGATGTAGCCGCTCTGATTTCACAAATGAGCATGGCCTGTGTTATTCGTGTAAATAGTTCAAATCTGTATTGAGCCCGGGTTAAGAAAATGTTGCTCGGAGTTTAACCTTCCTTGAACCTAGGATGACTTCCATATAAATATAGCTTAGGAAGATCCCGGATTCAATAATCCTTCCAACGCCTACGCTCTAATTATTTAAGATAGTGCCTGTTGCCTCTTTTTTAATCGTAGAAGCCTATAATACAAACTATTCGGTCAAAGGTTTCCATTATTTATGATTATCTCGCCGTTTTTAACCAATTTGATTTCTTAAATCCAGATGAATAATTTTGCAATTGTTTTCCTGTAGCAGCTTTTCACTTCTTTTTGTTTTTCCATCAACCCACCTTTTGGCACGAATGAAAAGGCAAAAAGTACAAGGGTGCTGAAAAGAGACACTTCTTGCATGCAACCCGCTGTTCTCTTTACACTGAACGGATGTGCTAGTTGCCCGACTCACCCCAAGTTCAGTTTACACGAGAAAAACATTTTCCAACTCGGTTTGGGTTCGACCCGGGGTAAGGAGCACCATGTAAAGGGGGTTGTTTCTAATTAGAATAGCAGACAATAAGAGATAACTGACTAAACGTCCAACTTGTAGCTCTACTAAGAGCTCTACTATGAATATCTTAATCAAGTGCATGTCATCGCAGATGAATGTTTGAGGATACCAATCATGTTAATTTTTCAGGTATGTTTTGATGTGTTTTACGAAACAGAGCAACCAGGCTTGTCCCAAGATCGTCTTTACATGCGAAAACAAAGGTTTGCAGCTACTTATGCCTTTTTCGAGCGTCAATATGCCTCTGATAGTTTTTCAAAGCGTCGAAGGCGAGAGAGCTTGTATCTTGCATTTTTGTTGATGAAAATATGGCCAAGTTTTATGTTAAAGTCTCAATAGCTAGGGTTGTAAATCCTTATGAAATGTTTTCAAAAGGCATGCTTTTTTGTTCAAATCAACTTTTATCGGTTAGCGAAAGAAAACTTCTGATTTAGTATCCGGTCCAGTGCGAGGGGAGCAAGGGAATGATTCTACTCATGTCTTTGGCGATGAATGAAGATTATGGGGCCCTACCAAAGTTATTTAATTTTTTTATCACTATAAATAACTTCATTTTAATGTATACTTTGTTTCAAAATATGCTTTAAACTTTGTCTTTTTCTCTAGGGGTAGAGACCGCTCGAGGCCCTTTGTCTACGTTCAAGAGAAAGGACTTTTTGTACATGAAGTGCTGTAAAGACTCTTTCTAGCTTGTTTTCTCTGTTTATTATCCAAAGAAGTCTCTTTTTATGTCTGTCTTTTTATCAACTTATTCTCTGTCTTTCGTGGATAAAACTATTTGAAAAAAGATTTTTATCTCAATGCATTTTCGATAAAACGTGACAAAGATTTTCCCAGGAAAACGCTTGTAGTTTTGCTGGCTTAATTGATTTCCTTGTAGTTTTGAGGACGATTTTGATATCATTAAGTGTAAACAATACAAAAAATAAGCCCTTGTTCAAGACGCACATAGCAGATCGAAATGAAAATATCAATTTTCAACCTCTGCGAATCGTTTTTCAGATGTAATCACTGCCTCCTTTTCTTTGAGTTACGCAAAGACCTGCCCCAAGTCTATTTTGTGCTTTAAAGCAGTGAGTATTTGATTTTGTTTTTGGGCAAACGGATGTCTTCTATGTACCGTATATCCTCGAATCAGTTCCCCGGGGGGTTATTCGAGGGGAGGCTTATACGAGGGGAGCTTATAAAGTTATAGTAGACATCAAGAAGACATTATTAAAAGACCTCGAATATTTTAGTAGGAATTTCTTTAATAACGTTTAATTAATTATTACCAAAAGTATGAATTTTTGTGGTACTTCAATAAAACACCAAAAGCAACCACAGATAGCAACAATAAACGAATCGAGGGGGGCCGATTCGAGGATTTACGGTAGCAGTGGGGGCTTATTCGAGGGGGGCTTATTGACAATTTGTAGTTCAGGCTGGGGGCTTATTCGAGGGGGCTTTTCGAGGGGGGACAATTCGAGGATTTTCGGTACGTATCCATAATGATCTTCGATAGAGTCAGGATTTCTAGAACTATAATACAGTCATTTCAGAAAATTTCCACACCTAGGTTTCAGAAAAAACTTTCTAATCACAAAGATAACTTCTTGACAGCATGACAGAGGGTTCAAACAAATCAAAGAGGTCTGGGAAAATCTGCTCTTGGAAAAACTGAAACCAAGTGATTGGAAAGAATTAAAATACTCCATTTGTATCTACCTTTTTCAAATGGCTTTTCATCTGGACGAAAAATAGACAAGTTTCTAAGAGGGGCAGCTTGCAGTTGAAACAGAAGACTTTTTAAAATCTTTGAGGTCACTCTACTGAACCACTCTCGAACACCACAATCAATTGAAGCCCCATCTTTCTTGGTAAGGTTTGCAAAAGCCCGCGATCTTTTGAAGTACTCTATGTCCAAACATTTTTCAAGATTTTCGCGCTCTTGCATTTTGTTTGGGGTCAAAGCCTCGTTTCCAATTCCATTTACTTGGAAGTGACAAAATGGCGGGTGAAGTCAGTGAAAGCGAGTCCTATCTGCACGGCGTTTTGGTGACATTCTTCAAAAGGTTGGATGATGATTTTAAGCCAGATGACCAAACTAATCTAGTTGTAACAGCTGATGATAATTTATTAGTGTGGAGTGAGCGGGAAAAGCAAATTGTTGTGGTTCCAGCAAATGGTGTTGTGCCAAGTCTTGCATCGAAATGCCAAAACACGCGTCCAGTTTATCAGGTATTTTATCCTAGTTTTTCGCTTTAAAACCAGAAGTGCTTATTATATATTATGGTGTAGTAAATTATCCTAGAAAAAATTGGTGGCCCAAACAGCAGTGCAGTTGTTAATGCTCAATTTCTAATAATTATTTTGAAGTACCATTACAGATTCAATTAGCTACCTGTCTTATTCTCTAGAAAATCGGCTGCTCACATCCAGTTGTGTTTCATGTGATTGCCATGAAAATGAGCTTATCTTCCCATTTTCTGGCTATTATTGGATACAATGGCGTTGCTGTTATGGAGATGCCAAGGCAATGGGGGACCAACAGTCTGTATGTTGGCGGAAAGGCAAATATAATTTGCAGGTAGTTTTCTTTTATACAATTAGATTATTTCTGCAATTCAATGCTCAGAGTATTATATGTATCATTTGCATAGATTCAAACCGAATTCTAGATGAGTTGTGCCACTTTCTGGCCAAAAATAAGTGTTCATAAGGTTCAACAGGGGTGGCGCTAGACAAGACTGGAAACTTTGTTGTGCGCCCGCAAGATATTGCCTGCACACTCAACTGCACGCTTTTGCATATTGGCTGCGTTAAATCCCCAGACAATAACATTTACCATTATTAATGCTAAAAACACTAACAAATTTAGGCTTTCGGGCGCACAGTCTCAAAATTTCAAAGTAAACTTGTCCGCGCAAGAGACAAAGTTTCCAGTCTGGGTGCTAGAGTCAAACATTCAAGGTGCCAGCGTTTATATTCAAGATAACTGCCGACAAAGAATGTATCAAACTGCCGACAGAAAAATAAGGCTCAGAATCATCCACTTTTTGAGAATATTAAAAGAATTTTGCTCAGCCTAAGCTCGCATATTTGTGTCCCATTTTCCAGTAGTTGCCTGTTTTGCTATTGTAAGGACAGAGTATTGCATGATTGAGATATTTCGTTTTTTTTCAAAAAACATGATTTCTATTCGAGGATGGCTATTTCCTTTAATTTAAAACATTTTAATTTTTTTGGAACTTTGTTCCCCTGAAGAAATATCAGATTTTAGAAAAAAAAATACTTTAAAAATATTAAGGCTCAAAGCGAAAATTTGTTAAAAATTTCAAGGTTGGAAAAAAGTTATAGTATTGTTTAATAATTCTTTCCTATCTAATTTACAAATAAAAAGGAAAAATATAAGCTTTGGAAAGATGGATTTGAAAAGTTGATTGATGTGTTCGTTCAGGAAGACATTTTTGAAAAATTGTAACACAAAATGTGCTCTCGATCGAAATTGGCATTCAATAATACTGTCCAAAACAAAAAAGGAATCCCTTAGCAACAGAATTCATTATCTGATAATTCTGCTGTTAAGATACATTTTCTTGAACAGGTTTCCTGAACCTGATACAAATCAAGTATCTCTGCTTGTTTTGCATGTATTACAAGCAGGGCCACCAAGAGGATTGGAAGGCCCTGGGGCATAAATGAAAAAGGTGGCTTTTGTGAGCGAAGCGTGCAGAAAATTTTTGCAACCACGCCTTTAGATTAGCTTAAAAAACATTGCAGAAGATTTTTCACACTCATTTTTTTATAATTGTCTAAAACATTGTAAGTATAATCTTTGATACATTTGCTAAGTTTGAGTAATTCCATTCATAATTAGAATTCACTACTTTATGAGGCTTCCTCCCTCTCGGCGGTCCTGATTCCCAGCAACAATTGAGAGTCACTCATTCTGCTTTTCATGTAGTTTTTTACAATGTGTAGAGAATTATATCATGCCAGTATGCTTTAAAGATGCCAAGTATAAAGAAAAAATTCATAAGCCAGCCACAGAAATTTTCATGTTAGATGCCATTCCGACCTATCTCTTAACTGGATTACATGCCGGTGCTTTCAAACGTATTTTGGCCTTGTAATTCAAATGGCCAAAAACCCATTCACCTAAGACTAATAATATCAAAATATGAAATAGGTAAATTGCTATGTCAAATCGTTTAAAACAATTTTTTATTCAAGCAATTAAAAAAGAATTTTGAAACAAGTGTAATTTGTGGTCTTCAAAATGTTTTCATTGCTTTAAAAACCATTGAATATATAGTATTTACTTTGCAGTCTCATTTCTTATCTGAAGTGGAACTACCAATTTAATATTTCTTTAGTTTGTACTCTTAATATCTTGGATATGATATTTCTGTTAAAGCATTTTTGACCTTGTATCTCATTAAGTATAGGCAAACCTTTCCTTTGTAGGTCTGTGTTGTTGGGTGAGAGCCTTTTCAGAAAGCAAATAAGCTTAAAAGTTGTTCAGATGGAATGGTTTCCAGGAAGTGAAACAGATTCACATGCCATCTTGCTGACAAATGATAACTGTTTAAGGTAGCTCAAATTTTTTTGATTATTATAGTAGTTATGTTCATTCATATATGGTCATTGGTTGTAATACATGCAATGCCTTAGTGGTTTTTTCTTATGAAGTTATGAAGAAATGTTCTTATTTTTAAGATGTTTTCATGTTGGGGAGTATGATACACCAATCAGTACTATTTCACTGTCCAATGGACCAAGCACATTAAAAGTCAACCCATCATTGAATTTTGCATCTGCCCTTGGTGAAGAAGCTGTGTCATTCAGTATAACGCCTTCAGCCACCAGCCTAAATGGACCATCTATGTATCCAATATTTGTTATGCAAGAGAATGGCAATGTGTTGACAGTGTGGACCAAGTTAGATCAGAAGAGGTAAATTTGTTTTGTTCTTCTTGGTATGTAGCTTTGCTTTCCCTAAAAAACTCTTTCTGTTTTTTATAGCTTCTTCAAAGGAAATATGTGTATAAATTCTCAACTAAAGCAGCTAAAATTGTGACAAAGTCAGAAATAACCAGTAAAGCAATCGATCAACACTGCTTTTCAAAATGAATACAATAACTTTTCTCCATGTTCTTGATATTGCTAGTTACTTGTTCTCCTTTCAGCCTTAATGATATTACAGCCTTTTACACACTGTAGAAACATTAAGAGGTGCAGTCCTTTTCGTTTAGCGCGTGCGATCGCACCCGCACACGCCTGCACACGCGCAAGTTAAATTGCGCGTGCTTTTGACCACACGCGCAAACAGGTGTTTTTGCAGTTTTCTGTTAAAGGGCCTCTCCAGCCAAATTTTGCACTTGCATTTTATTGGCAATTTTTATAAAGAAATTGAGCCTGCTGATCACGAATTCGTTATTTGTTTTTCGATATTTTTTTACAGTTTGTGGGATATAAGCTCTTGCATTTCGATAACTGAATTGAGTTAACCGACAAAAATTGTTGGTTTGGTGACACTGTGACGCAATTTTGACGTCACAGTGTATTTCGGATAGTCTCGCCTCAAACCGAATCAAACGACGGCGATTCGCAAATTGAACACTGCAAGTGATGGCACTTTCAGTTCTGTTCCGCCAGCTTTTTGTTTGAGCATTTCAGACACCAATTCTGAAGCCTTTAGTTGTTCATCGTTTCTGGAGAACAACTGAAGTGACAATTTCGATTAATTATACGCGAGGGAAGAGCTGGAACAGGAACTGGAACTGGATGCAGTTATCAACGCGTGACCATGAGTCCTTCACGCTTCAGTGGAAGATATACGAAATTCATGGCGAACGAGAGCCGCACATTGTGACGTCAGAATGTCACCAAACTGATTCGGCTTTTGTCGTTTTTTTTCTCGGAAAGGTGCAACTTTAAAGCCTTACAATTTCTAAACTAATTGGAATTTTTCAAAAACAATGACTTTGTCATAATACACGCACCAGATGCTAACTTTTAAGTCATTAATAAATTTTAAAGTCATTTTGCTGGAGAGACCCTTTAACATCAATTTCCCATGGTCTCATGATTGTTTATCCTTTCCCTTGTTACTTGATTCGCACTTTTGACCACAATATGATTTTTCCAATTTTCGGAAGTGATGTTTGGCTTTTGACTGAGTGCTCCATTCAACTTTGCGTCTCGTCTTTCAGCTAAGTCGCCATTAGCATGTTAAGTGTAATAACTGATTTCCTGTCAAAACGTAATATAGGCTCTGAAAGCAAGTAGCTGTTGGAAACAATTTTTACTTGCTCTTGTAACTTTGGAGAGTTACGACGACTTTTAAAAGATGGCTGCTAAGGGCAACAAAATCTGTTATGTATTGATTAATTGAGTTTTGCTCTTGCACGTATTCGAGTGGCTTTTTCCTTCTTGCTCCTTTTACCAATTTTATCAGGTTTGTACTTCAAATTTTCTTACAAGTGCGATCGCACGCGCAAATTTGTTTACATGTGCGATTTGCCACACACGCGTAATTTTGCTCACGAAAAGGACTGGAGGTGCATGCACACAGAGATTCAATCATGTGCCATTTTGTTATGTTACGTTTTTTTTTGCAAATGAAATCGTGTCTTTTTATTATTCATTATTATGACTAATAAGTATGAATATTTAAACTGGATAGCCAATACAAGTTATCAAGAGCCTTTTTCAATATGTCTCCAATGTAGAAAAGAAAGCCTCGACATCTAAAGACAGATTTAACGAACACCGACGAGACATTATCAACAAAAAAAAAGACAAGTCTGGTGTTGCAGAACATTTCTGCAGCCCAGCACACACCATCCACGACCTTGCCATCACACCACTACTTAGACTTAATGACAAACGAGAGAGTGTTCGTCAAGCTAAGGAGCAATATCTCATTGGCCTGGCGAACACCCTTACCCCCAACAGCATGAACAGAACCACCGACTGTTAACTTTACAAAACAACTTATCACGTATCACACCGCCCTCACAACCCACACCATTGTTATGTTGTTAAAAAGGGCCTAATCATGTGCTCACATGTAACACGGTTTACTCCCTCGCCTCGTGCTCTACAACTACCTCTAAGTACCGTTACGTCATAATAATATGTTAATTTATTCAAAACATTACATCTCCCCTTTTCTTCAGATTAGTGTCTGGGGCTAAAATATAAAGTTAATTAAAGTTCAAATTATCAAGTCCAAACTTTCTAACAGTAATATAACTAGGTCTACACGACAACAAAACATTTTTTTTTTTAACTTCTGAAAATCGAATAAAATAAGTGAAAGCGTTAAACTCACAGTACTTTCTGCTTACGTATCGTAAATGTTTTGTCCATATCTTTGAACTCTTCTTCTAATTCTTTGTGGATATCTGGCGTTATTCTGGGTGTCTGCTTCTTCTTGCTGTCCTTCTCCGGTCGCAGGTAGTTCTAATGATTCTTCATCATCCGCATCATTGTAAAATTCCAAATCCTTTCTTTCCTGAATTGGCTTAAAAAATGAAATGTTCCTTGTTACGTAATGTCCATTTCTACAAGCTGTGATCATCGTTCCTTTTATTCGTACTATACGAAAAGGCTTCGGAGCGAATTTGGATGTTAACTTGTTTCTTTTTCTTTGTCGAATTAGTACCAGATTGCCAATACTCATTTTACGTTCCTTAGCTCCTCTTTTCCGGTCCGCATTTTGCTTCATCGTTACCTTTGCCTGTGTGTCGTTTTTGCGAATTTCTTCGTCCAAGGGCGATAGACTCTTTTCCACTGTGTCTGGCAACTTTATCCGAATTTTGCGATTAAAAAGTAGCTGTGCTGGAGGATATTTTGTTGTTGTATGTGGAGTGGCACGGTAATTTAGAACGAATCTGTAAAGCTCTTTCTTCCAATTTCTCCCCTCCACTTGTGCTGCTTTGATGGCTTTAGTCATTGGTTTGTTAAAGTTCTCAGCTTCGGAATTGGCTTGGGGCCACAACGGTGTTATGGGTTGAAAATGTATGCCATTTTCTTTCATGTAATCCTTGATGTCAGCACTGTTAAATGGTGGGCCATTGTCACTTTTAACTACGTGGGGCAATCCATGTGTTGCGAAAATTCGATCGAGTTTAGCAATTGTCGCAGAGGCTGATGTGGAATGCACAATGTCCACTTCTGGGAATCTAGAGTAAGCATCGATGACCACGAGAATATATTCTCCGGTAGGAAACGGTCCACAGTGATCAATGTGTACAGTATGCCAGGGCTTCGGAGGCAATTCGTTCATATGTAATGGGGCAGGCCTATTTTCCGGACCAATGGCTTGGCAGGGTAAACAATTTGCAAGCACATCTTTGACAGATTTATCTATGTTAGGAAACCAAATTTTCTCTCGTAGAAGTTGTTTGGTTTTGACGATCCCTTGATGTCCTTCGTGAGCAATTGCTATGGCTCTATGGCGGAGAAATTTAGGAAGAACAATTCGTGATCCTCGCAGAATTAGGCTTGCATCATCATTGACAGTTAATTCGCTTCTTATTTTAGCAAATAAGTTTAATTCCTCTTTATCAACGTCAGGTGATTGCATACTTCGAATGTTGTTCCACGAATTATCATGAATAAGGCGTATGAGAGCTTGCAAGGTTTGGTCTGCGAATGTGGCATCTTGAATTTCTTTGTAGTCCATAGACTTCGGAACAGCATGACGAGCGAGAAAATTGACGTATTTGTCGGCTGTTGATGACTGAGATTTACTAGTTGTATCCGTAAAGGTGTGTCTTGACAAGAAATCCGAAGGGTTTTGAGCTCCTTGTTTATAAACAATTTCAAAATCGTAATCCTGAATACGTAAATTCCAGCGTTCAATTCTAGCGGGTGGTCGTGATTTTTGGGTTAGACAAAATAAGTTCGACTGGCTTGCAATCCGTAAAGAGCTTGAATTTTGCACCATATAAGTAAATGTGAAGGCGTTCAATAGACCATACTATAGCTAATGCCTCTTTTTCAGTTTGCGAGTACCTTCTTTCTACATCTGAGAGCGATCGGCTTACGTAGGCTACGACTTTTCTGTCTTCTTGGCCAGGTGTAATTTGCGATAAGATAGCCGAAAGGCCTGTAGGCGAAGCATCCGTAAACAACTCAGTTTGTTTTGTCTGGTCAAAATATGCCATCACCTTGTCACTAGTCAATGCCAACTTGATGTTATCGAACGACTTTTGTTCCTTAGGGGTCCACCGGAAAACACTGTTTTTCTTTGTTAAGTTTCGCAAGGGCTCGCTGATATCACTGAATTGTGAAATAAATTTTGCACAGTAGTTTGCCATCCCTAAGAAACTGCGAATATCCTTGACTGACTGTGGCGGCGGGGCGTTGTGAATTGCATGAACTTTCTGGGGGTCGGCAGAGATTCCTTTGTCAGAAAACACATAGCCAAAAAACGTGATCTCCTTTTTGTTTAACTCGCACTTTGCCTTGTTTAACGTCAACCCCATATCTTGGAATCGTTTGCATACCGCATGTAACGCGCGGTCGTGATCGTTTTGGGTGTTACCATAAATGATAACATCGTCGCTGATATTTACGGCACCCTCAATATTCCGAATTTGTTCGTAAACGGCGTTCTGAAAAATTTCGCTTGCTGACGACGTTCCAAAGTTAAGACGTGTATATCTTCGTAACCCTTTATGAGTAGCGAAAGTAGTGATGTGACGGCTTTCTTCTGATAAAACCAGTTGATGGTAACCAGAGCGAAGATCTAACTTGGAAAAAACTGTAGCACCATTTAACGCGTGTATAAGGTCGTCGATGGTAGGGCTAGGGTGGCGTTCCCGTTGAATCGCGCGGTTAGGCATTCTCATGTCCACGCATAAGCGAACAGTTCCGTCGTTTTTTGGAATTACGACCAAGGGTGATATCCAGGGGGTGCTTGTTTCTGCCACTTTTTCAATAATGCCTTGGTCTTCCAAATCACGCAGAGTTTCCGACACTTTCTTCCGCAAATGAAATGGTATACGTCGAGCGGGCTGAGCCACCGGCGGAACGGTGCTATCGATATGCAGTTTGATTTCACGGTCTTTAAGCTTTCCTATTCCATCAAATAGTTTTGGGTATGTGGCTTCCAAATTCTCGGTAGTGGCAGGGGTAGATTGTCCTGTTTTCACTGCATTTAGCTTAATCTGAATCAAATTTAAGTCAGCAGCCGTTGTGTAACTGAGCAAAGATCCAGAATTTCCCCGAACCACATGTAGGCAAACGGGCGCGATTCGGTCCTTTGTTTCGATCGTGGCATGAAATTTTCCCAAAACTGGAAGCTGTTGTTCAGAACCATATGCAAAAAGCTTTGTCGTTGAACGAGAAAGATGGATATTCTTAGCTGCCTTGACCTGATGAAATGTTGATTCATCCAAAATATCGATCGATGCTCCTGTATCCAAAATCATTTTCACAGGGGTGTTATTAATTTTTACACGGACTTGTGGCATCTTTATTTCGCGTTGATCATCGCACGTAAACAAATAACCTTCGTCGCTGCTAGACTCTGGAGTAGGCTCTTGTGTATGTTGAGGTGCTTTTCCATGTACATGATGTATTTTTCCTTTTTGATTTGCGAATTTATGACCTCCTTTCTTATGGTCTTGCGTAAGCGGGTCATTAACGGCACGCGGTTGTTTCGCGCGGCTTTTACAGACTTTAGCAAAATGTCCAACACGCCCACATTTGCGACAACTTTGAGTCTTGGCGGGGCAAGGGGAAGTACGGTGAGGCCATGAAAAACCACAGTTGAAACAGGTTTTCAGCTGAGGCTTACGAACCAGCTGGGCAGTTTCTACCTGCATGAGACTTTCTTCTATATCTTTAGCTTGTGTATCGCTGGCTTCCAGAATACGTGCTTTTGATAACAACACGGCAAGTGTAAGCTTCTCTTCCCGCAAAGCAAGCCTTCTGAGTTGCTTAGACGAGCAGTTTTGTATAATCGCAGATTTAATTTCCTTATCTAAATCTGTAAATTCACAATTTGTAGCAAGTTTGCGAAGTCGTGTAGCAAATTGATCAGTAGTTTCTCCAATCCTCTGTTTGGCTTGGCGAAATTGAAAAATTTCAAAGTCGACATTTTTCTGCGGGGCAAAGTAAGTGTCAAGTTTTGCCAGCGCTGTCTTGTAATCTGTAGCTTCATCTTGCTCAACTGGGAGAGAATCGAAAATTTCTTGAGTGGCGGCACCTGCTTGGTACAACAGTAAGGCACGTTTCTGAGCATCATCAGTTATATTTACGGCAAGTAAATATGTTTCGAAACGGCGTTTCCAATGTTGCCATCGTTGGCTTATGGACGTCGGGTCGGACACAGGGTCGAACGGTGGAAGCGGTAATAAATCTAATCGTGCTGCCGTCGCCATCTTAAATTCTGAAACTTAACAGAAATGGCATGTGCTTTCCCTCCACGTTATCTGCTTTTTGTTTTAATCCTCGTCGCCAAATGTTATGTTGTTAAAAAGGGCCTAATCATGTGCTCACATGTAACACGGTTTACTCCCTCGCCTCGTGCTCTACAACTACCTCTAAGTACCGTTACGTCATAATAATATGTTAATTTATTCAAAACATTACAACCATATTTTCCCTACCATTATAATCATCATCACCACCATTACTATCATCAACATTTCATTATTCTCAGTTCCATCACAATTATTATTATTATTATTTTTTTTTTCATGTTTATAGTCATCATTATCATCCCATTGCATCTATCTCCATAGCACCACCCACATCCCCTTACATCACCCACCACCTTTCCCTCCCCCACTTCCATCATCCCATTTTTTCTCCACTGCGCTGCATTCACACCATTCAACATCCACCAATCCGGCACCACCATCTCACATTTCAAATCCATTCACTCGTTCGTTTCATTTACTCTGATGAAGCCCTGTATGCTGGGGCGAAATATTAGTATACTCTTAAATTTAATTTATTTTGAAAATTTATTTCGTGACATTGGATTCTCGTCGTCGTATTGCTTTGTTCCTGTATACCTTTAATCTAAGTAAGCGGTGTTTGAAAATGTAATTATAATTTTTCCAGACAAAGCATAAACCCATTTCAGCTTAGATATTTTTAAAAGAAAATATCAAATCAGTTCAAAATTTGAGATGGGGCCATGTTACACTATTTTCCACAAGTGAATGAAAACCTCTGACATACCAATTTTACAAAGCAATTTTGTAGCTTTGCAGTAATGAACAACTCCATTTTCTCTAAAAGCAAAATATGCTCAAAGTGTACACAGACCATACTGAAAGCGTTCAGTTGGGATGCATGCCAATGATTGCAGTCTCTAAGACGTACATCCAATCATTGACATTCTGCAAATTTCTCTACCATGATTCCAGATTGCTCCAAACAGAGCAAAGTTATATGCTTTAATGCTGATACTGAATTGGACTGAATTTTCGGGTTTCAAAGCAATCATCATAAAGAATTGAATTGTATTTCTATTATAATTGAACTTATATATAGGTAATATTTCAGCCCAACCACATAGCTGTAGGTGTCGGCTAGGGGGGCAAACTCGAGCAAGAACCATACCTTAGGGGGGCAGGCTTTAAAACAAGAAAACATATATATATAACAAACAGATATATTTGGACAAAATCATGGAATTATAAATATGCCAAATTTTCAAAATATCATTTGGAAAAACTGTAGCCAGAGAAGACAAGCTGTTGTCAAAATTTTCATTTGGGGAGGGGCACAGCCCCTCCCCCCATGCCCCCCCCCCCTGCAGCTACATGGCTGTTTCAGCCACCTAGATCACTAGAAGTAGAGAAATGAAGTCAATTATTTATTGTTAAACATTACGTTTTTATTCCTAGGATTTTTTGGAAAACTCGTGGACCACTTAAGATGGCTCCAGAATCCGAAGATAACTACTCTGGAGATTTCTGCTCAATCTTATGTCTAAAAACCACACCAACTGTTGTTGTCTTGGCAACAAGGAATGGGATAATTCATCATTGTATCGTATTAGAGGATGAGGATGTTCAGGATGGAGATGAAGAGGACAGGGTTTGTATTTCATATATACAGAATTTTATATATGCACAGAGGGCTTCGAATTACAGCTGGCTGCTGACAAACTTAATAGGGCCTTTAAAGGCCCTTCACATGAGAAAAGAGAGCCCAGTTTAGCACACCCCCCCTCCCCCTCACCCAACTGCTGGCAAAGCCTTTGTTTTTGGTTTAACCTTTCACAACTCAAGTCAGGATGTGTTGAACAAACTTTGTAAGCCTGAGTGGAAATTTCAACATTTGTGATGGTGGATATATCCCTGTGAATCAACATTTTAGTTTCTCAATCTGCGGGAGATTTCGCATTAACTAAACAACGGAATTTAGAGTACTAAAAGTCGCCCTGAGTGTACAAAAACCAAATTTTTAACGCCAAATAGATCACAACTGAGGCTGAATTTAAACTGGGTTTGATTTTTCTCATGTGAAAGCCCTCCTAGATTACCTCTTTATTGGTTGTAATACGCTAACTTCAAATCACTGCTGACAATTTCTCTTAATGCCTGCCACGTCTGATGCCATATTATGATTATACCAGCCCATTATAACAACACTGTTTGCTACTGTACACAGTAAGCTTCCCATAAGTTCCCTCTGATTATTCGTCTGCTTTGATTCAGGATGAAATGCGACAGATGCAGAGATCAAGCTTATGCGTTATGGGGATGACGCTGTTAGTTTACGAAACGATTGAGCTGGATTTCACACTTTTGCCTTCAGAGGATGGACACCTTGAGCAAAGCGAAACAAAGCAAAATTTTGATGTACAACTCCGAGAAGGTATTGAGATCATTGCTTTTATATCATCTTGTTTTTTCTTGCACTTTAATGAAGATAGAGTTTTTATGTAATGCCAAAATCTTCTTTAAAAATTGAAATGATGATGAAATAAAAGACTGGCAAAGTACGTCTATCCAAGGAAGCTGTATTGATGTATATGCCTTTGACTTTTATGAAAGGTTCTTCTTATGAATTTCAATTTAAGAGAGCCATGCTCTTACTCTTTTTGTATGATTCTAAACACTGTAAAGTGCTTATCAGAAGAGCAGAGAATACTCCGATCAAACCCCCTGGTGTAAATGTATGGAAAACGTCGAAAATACCAATGGCGCTACAAGGATTTCTGTAATGGGTGTGAAATTAAAGAGTAAATGGCTTTGAAAAAAGCAAACATTTAGTAAACTAAAGCTTTTCGTCTGACACTCTTCAGAGTTTAAAACGTCAGAACATAGATCGAAAACTCTACGCTAAGAAATATATATACCCAGTTGTGGATCGAAATAGGCCATCCAGAAACACGAGCACATGACTGTAAAGGTTGACCAATCAGTGCCGCTTGCCTATTAGAATGTTACCAATGGAGTCCTAAGGTGAAAACGAACTCCTTTTGTCTACACAGTAGCGGTTTTTTCGAGCTTATGTAGATAGATTCTAAAACTGCTAGGTGGAACGACGATCGGGCTTTACCAATAATCCGAAACATGTCGCCATTAAGTTTTTTTGCACATTAAGTTTACAGTCATGTGCTCGTGTTTCTGATTGGCCTATTTCGATCCACAACTGGTTATATATATTTCTTAGCGTAGAGTTTTCGATCTATGTTCTGACGTTTTAAACTCTGAAGAGTGTCAGACGAAAAGCTTTAGTTTACTAAATGTTTGCTTTTTTCAAAGCCATTTACAAGTTTTGTACCACCAAAAGATTGTTTAAATTAAAGAGTATCAAACAGGGCTGGTACTGATTTGCTTTTCATGAACTTAGCATAGACAATCCATATATGGGAAGAAATTTGGTTTTCGAGGGATCCATCCAAACCCTCTCTGGTTACGCCACTAAATACATGTATATTTCACTTCATATTTCTGAATACCAGTTTGATGAAGCTGATGATTCTTTCTTTGACTTTAGAAGCCCATCTGTATCAGTTCTACTACTTTATTTTTACCAGGGCCCCTATCGACCATTTGCAAAATAACCTTCACAAAAGGCTAGACACTAGCTTTCTCTGAATGGGTCAGACTGCCTTTAATTGGTAAGATTTAGGTGCCCCGTAATCCCAGTAGGCAGTAGAAGACACCTCAATATGATTGTTTGCTAGTTGATTTTTGAAATTTATAGATACATTTTTCATGGAAACATTACATCTGTATCTTGATTGTTTTTTAAACCTTATTTCATTTTCTTTGAACTAGATCCCACAAGACCACATTGTTACTTCTGCACTAGTAACAATGGCATCCACATGGTGAATTTGACTTGGGCTGAAGATCTGCGGGAACTTTGCTTATCCTGTAAGCTACTGTAAATCGATGTTCTCCATAGAAAATTGCCACAACACTTAGGAGTATAGGACATTATTTTTCAAAAAGAGTTTTTATTATGCATCTTTGAAAGTCTGGAATGATTCAGCTTCTATAATTCGTGAGCTACCGACTTTGAATCATTTAAACAACAAATATAAGCGCATTTAAAGGGCTAGACCCATTTTAGAACACGACTCCCTGGATAAAAAACAGATTAGGAACTTAAGATATAAGCCTTTTTAGGAGTTTGATTTTTAGACCTTAAACTTTAAGGGTTATTTTCGGGTATAAATATTGTTGAATGAAATGAGCTAGTAAAACAACGAGAGGCTAGATTAAATGTTGAAATCCTCAATAACATCCTGGACCATTGCCTATAGTGAATTGTGATTGGGTTTCAAAGAAAACAAATAAAACCCTTGTGCTCGGACTAAACAACAGTACACTGGATGTACAGATTTACCACCTCACATTTTCAAACTTTCTCTCCCTTGACTTGAAAAGTGTGTTTCCAAGGCTTCTCTTAATAGGCCAAGAAAAGTTTGAAAGAGTACAACCTGTAGGGAATTAGCCAATAGTATTGCAACGGAAAAATTGAAATAATTTGCAATATTGGATTTATCTAATCTGATATGAATGTTCGCTAAAATAAAGAAAGTGTCAGCAATAACGTTTTTGCGGTTAAAGAAAGCATCAATGTCCCTTGTTTTGTCTTGAAGTTGCAATTTTTTCTTTGCACTTCTAGGCTTCCATATTCATCGAGCTAACATAAGTCTTTTGATTTCTTTGTTTCAAAGTGAAAGAAAATCAAGAATTTGAATGCACATCTCTGTCGGAAGTCAAGTTCGTTCTTTGCACATGTCCTACGGAGAAAAGGTGCGTAAAAGCTCAAAATCTTGATAAGCTATCAATTTTTCAAAGCATTGAAGCTTTTTCAAGAAGATTTGAAACTTCCTTTCAGCTCATTTGTAAAAGCAGATTTGCTGAATTCTTGAAGCTTCATTCCTAAATGCTAAAGTTTTAAAGCCTTGAATTTTAAAGATGATTTATTCAAGGCCATAAAATATTTATTAGTAAAACTATGTCGTTTATTCTAGGCTTTTCTGTCCTATATTTTGTTGACCTTGCCTGCTTCAAATTTGACTCCATGGTTATTTTTTTTAAATTCTCTTCAGCAATTGCTCAGGTACTCTATATCACTGCAAATGTAACAAGCTTCTTGAAGCTTTATTGTTTTTTTACATTTCATAAAATCTTCACTGTAAGGACCCCAACAAACATAAAACTAGGTAGCCTCTAGAAAAGCATAAATTTGACACCAACGTTTCAAGACGATTTCAAGACGTAACTAAATAAGTTTTTCGTACCACAAAATTTGAAGATGACACGAAATAGCCGAGACATGGCATACTGAAGCACTTTTCCTCCAATTATCAAAGGTAAAATTTTCCAGTAAGAAAACAAAAAAAATTCAAATGCGCTATGCTTTGCTTATATTTCTTTCGATCCACATCTGGATATAAATTTCTGCTCACTTACTGTCATTATCTGACGTTTATGCTCTGAAAATTGTCGAACGAAAAGTGCATCGGTATACCATGTTTCTTTAAACTTCAAGTAGTCAAATTGCACCAGCTGTACAAACAATTTTTGATTCTCTCATATTTAAGACATTTTTCTTGATTCTTTCCTGTATATAATATTATGGCTTTTACATCCAAGTGACCCAGTTCCTATAATCGGTACAACTGTCATCTCAAGCTTTGACACTGGACCTCTTGTTCTGTGTTTACTTGAGAATGGTGAGCTGATTTCAAGGCCTGTTGGGTAAGAATGTATCAACATTTCACCTTTATCTGAATCCTTACAGTCAGCTTCACTACAGTTTATTTTAGTTTTAGTTCTTCCCTTTTAATTTTCAAAGTATGAATCCACTGAAGATGTAGAAAACTGGAATAGGTAGAAATTTTTTGCCAGTTGTGTAAATTAGCGATGTAGAAAGACCTTTGCAAAAAATGGATAGTCTCACAGCTTGGTCGCTGCTTTTGTTATGATGGTCTTTTTCAGTATTGCCCCCTTGTTTTTGGCATTTTATAGCTGCCCGCTCTAATTACAATCTCATTTATTAGTTACATTTTACATTTCCAGCCTCGTTACAAAACTTTTTAAATTGTATGTTGCAATTTGGCTCTCCATAAACAGCCGTTTATTGTCTCTGTAATTCTGTGCTTGATTTTCAACGTTTCAGTGCTTGTTTCTTAATTTTTAAGTTTATGCCCTTTTTTCAATGCCTGTATTGTTATGTCAAAATAGTAACTGCGTCAGTATTTTTTTATCATCAGTTTACTTCTAATATTAAATTGCTAAAATCTTTCAATAGTCGATCAAACGAGGGTGCCATTGAAAGTGAAGAAATGGATGCCAAAATTTCGTATGTTTTTTCATTTCATTTCTGTTGTATATCACTGCTGTCTCTGGAACAGTTTTGTTTTGGATACAGGCATTGCTTCTCCAGTCCATGCCTTAAGAACAATATATTCTTCATAAATTTGCTTTATATTTGTCTTCTTTACCGTATGTCTTTGTAGTGTATTGTATGTATAAAGGGAGAAGAACCTAAATAGGCCTAACGATGGAATTTCCTTCGTTATTTGCAATGATGATAAGAACGATGAACAGTAAGCAGAAACAACGTTGTATCATGTCCTGTGTCGCAGATAGTACACAATAAAACGTACGTTTAATAGGAACGTAACAGAATATTTATCCAAGCGTGCATTCTTACAGCATGGTTCTCTAATTAGCTAATTATTCTAATTTATGCAATGGTAATTTAATATGTGCATAAATCACAACATTACATCCCCCCTAGCTTGAATTTAAAGTCCAGTTGTCGAAATTTAAATGACTACAAAAATATCAGCAGCAAGAAATTAATGTTCACAAATTCTACGATTCAATCAAACAAAATCTAACGATCATATATATTTGGTCCATATCTTTTTACTTGCTTTCTATTTCTACGCGGATATCGATCTTCAAAATTCATCTCTTCATCCTGATCATCATTATGCTTTTGTTGTCATTTTTCAGGAAGCATGTGGAATCTCCGTTAAAGAGACTGCAGCATGCTGGTACTTTCGACCAATACATTTGCAATATTTTGAAGAGAGAGAACAATCTGCCCGTTATAAAGTATGTTATCCTGTCAAGAAATTCAGTTTTTGTTTCATAATACATGCTATTTTTATGCAACTCTTTATTATGTAGACCTTATATTCATTATTAGCTATGTCAGTAGACAAACAGAGCTAATATTTAACAATACACTCCAGTTTCATTAAGTTTTTAGTCACTCAGATAGTACTTGTCATTTAACCAGGGATGCCTACAAGAGTTTTTTAAATGGAGAAGGCTTACAGCAAACTGTGATGTGTGTTTGGTTACAACGGGATAAAAGTTCTATCGTCTCATTTAAATAAACAGCAGTTTGTAGCTTTGTGGCCCCAAGTTTTTCTTGTGATACTTCTTCAGCCGGTTTTCACAGTCTGTCACAAATGCTGTTTTAGGGGAGGGACGGCTTGCCGATTGTGCCTTTATTCCTACTAAGCAAAACGTTTGTCAATCTAAAAAAATTCTGACGTTATATTTTATATTTTAGTTTTTTGTTAGGCCATAACACATAATCAATTGCACAACTTCAGATTTAGGCCAATTTTTGTCAGTATCCAAGTGGTCCAAAATTATCTTGTGTAAAGGAGTGAGAAATCATTCATTCGATTCCATCATTTTTTTATTATAGATAATAACTTTGTTTCGTTTCAGGTCGCGTGATGAAAATAATAAACTATCTCAGGCCGAGTTTTATGCACTTTTAACACAAGCTACAAACTGCTTGAGAGAAGAATATATACAAAAAATGATGAAAGCAAAATCTGAAATCAAGAAAAGGTCAGCCTTTAGCCGTAGAAATGTTGTGTTCAATTTTTTTGTAAATGAATAAAAGTTGATTAGAGGGAAGTGGGAAGCATTTGAATGGGTACAAGTAGGAAGGGGTACAAGAAGGAAAGGGTACAAGTAGGAAAGGGTACAAGTAGGAAGGGGCAATATGTCTCAGGAAAAAGGGGTGCTTTCCTAACATCCATAAAGAAATCAATAATAACATCTTTACGTTCTGGCCCTTTTAAAGAAAAGGGAAGTTTCTTAGGAGTTGGGGGCACGTGCCCATAGTGCCCAGGACCGCCGATACCTTTTCTAAGTCCTTGGGCAAAAAGAAAGATGGGACACTTTATCAGTTATTATGAGTAGGATTTGTTTTGTGATGTTGTGATTTCAATATTGTGGTGTTATAAAAAAATCGACCATCTGGAATAATTTCTCGCAGACTGTAGCAATCGTTCGGTAAAACAAGAGGGATTTCAATTTCAAACACCAAATCAAATAAAAAACCAAACATATAAGAAGAATTGTAGTAAAAAGTCAGTCAAGCCTTTATCTTACTTTTTTTACTTTTGATGTCGCCTGTTTGTCGTCTTTTTCAAGTTCGTTTGATAACACTTTCTGCATCTGCGTACACCCCTGGCCCCTTAAAACCAGCGCTGTTTTTTATCTTTCTCTGCTTGGTTATTGCCTTCTCTCTTTCGATTTCAGTCATTCAATGACACACGGACGAGGGTCCCACTTTTCGACTTTGTTTCTAATTACTTTTCTCAACCGGACATATCTTTTTGCAAGTAGCTGCACTGGGCATAAAGAAGTTACAGTTCTCCTATCAATTCGCTCATAAGTATCGTCCTGCCAATTAACTCTTCCTTAAGCATATTAACAATGTTTACGAAAGTTTTTATTCGCAAACCTCCGAGCAAATGTCGCCGACGTTACTTTGCAGCATTGTTAAATTTAGGCCTATCATTTTCTTTCTAGATGCGAAGTTCTAGCAAAACATAAGGTTCAGCAACTTAATACGCTAGAAGATCTCTCAGAGGATGAAGTGCTGAGTCACAATGCTGAGTTTTTAGCCGAGAAAGTGTCCATAGTTTCTGAAAACGTCCTTTTATTGACGACAAGGTATGCACTAAATCATGTTGTGATTAGATTCCATACAAGAGATTTTATATGTTCATTGAATCGGGCTCTGTTCTTTTATTGGGAAGAGAAGAAGGCACGAGGACAGGTGCTAAAACCTGTGAGGGCATTGTAAAGCTAGAGAAATACTCTAGAGCTAGTACAAAAAAATTCAAATACGAAGAATGTTTCTGCGAAGATATTCTAGTCCGAGGTAGTTATACAAATTCCATCGAAATACATTGAAACATGTCAAATTTTCATAATCGCACAAGACTCATGTTAGCACTCGTAGAACTCTTGTTTACATTATTTTTGTTCTAAGTACAAAGATATTTTATAAGAAGTTGGTATTATTTAATTTGGTAAAGCAGCCTTCACTTGCTGATATTCCGGATTCCACGAACAACAAGGTTTCGGAGAAATGTGTTCCGAAGTTGATATATGATGCGGTGTTTGTTTCGCTGAAGGAATGCGTGCCATTGCACAAGCATTACTTAATGAACTCTCCTGTTTTAACAGACTCGATAACTATATACAGAGCATACAGACAAGTGCACCAATCCTGTCAGATGCAGAGTGTGAATGGGGCAGAGAAGTGCAGCAAATGCAGAAGAGATTAGCGACTTTAAAAAGACATTTGCAAGCAGTAAGTTTAGTGTTGATACGCTGAGGAACCTTTCCCGTTCCCCTTCGCAGTTTCCTTTCCAGTTCTTACTTCGTTTGACTCGCTGAGGCTTTTTTAATTATAATTCGGTGTTTTTTTAATTATTAAGGTAAAGCAAAAAGACGAAGATCTCCGTATTGGCAAAGTCCGTCATAGCACATCGAAAAGTGACGAACAGCAGTTGAATCGAAGCCAGCTAGTCAGAGTGAAGACGAATTTAAAAGAGCAGTATGTATTTCAGCTTATTGGTGGTAAACTTAAGCACATTACTGCGAGAGCTTTATGCATTGGACCACTGTGCAGTTCTAAGCGGTTTAACAAAATTTGTGATGAAATTCCCCAGTCTTCCTGTATTCGATAACAAACTTCCCTCTGCCCACCCCGCTATAAAATCCCCCCGCTATAAAAACCGTAATAACGAACTAAACTTCTGGCCCCTTTGCTTCTTAAAAACAAATTGTGTTGATTTATGAGCCTTTGATTCAACGAATTCCCGTTGTAACGCACTTTTCAGTCGATTCCCTTTGTTACTTCAGGATTCCTCTGCCTACCATGCATTACCCTGTTCAATTATTCTATTATTTGCGTTTTCATTTTATGAGCAAAAGTGCAGAAAGAGGACCAGACGGAGCCCCCCAAGAGCCCTAATATTTTCTAATGGAAAATATAAATTACGGTAGACTGCATATATAAAATACAGTCTTCATTACACGAACCCTTACGTCTCCAATTACCTACTTATGCTTCATTGAAAATTCAATTGTCTTTTTCCAGGAACAATAGAATTGCACATCTCGTCGACCAGGTGAAAACTGTAGACAAAAGAATCTGAAAGAGAACGAGCTCACACTGGTAACCAATGTAAATTTCCTTCATAGTTGTGTTGCATCTAGATAGGGTTGAGGTTTGAGGAAACTACGTCTTTAATTGTAATGAGCAGCCCCTTCAATAACTGTGGCTTGAATACAAATCTTTGTTAAATAAATGTCTGATATTTTCCAGCGCATATCGTATGCTCTTATAAACTTTCCAGTTGCAAAGTTCTTCAGTGATATAAATGATGATAGTACCTTAGCGCAAACTGAAACCACAAATTTAGTTATTAAAAAGGCCGTAAGCATTACAATGAGGTACTGACAAAAAACATGACTCTTACTCTGCACCTCCCCAACCTTCCCCGACCCTTCCCCTCTTTGGAGAAAGTAGCTTCTCTCCCGAAAAATGTGTGTTGAAACCACTTGAAAGACTTGTTTTCTGCTAGAACACATGTTTCCAACTCATGTTTCCTACAGTAAAAACCGGATTTGTTAGTCAGTGTATCAACTACAATACCAGGGAGGTGGTCATATTTTGACCTCAACCTTGCCCCCCTCAAACCCCATCCCCTAAACATCAGCGCGCTTGAAACTGTAGTAATGAACTCTATTTACAATTGCGGCATGATTTATGGAATAGCCAAGGTAAATGAGATGCAACAGATCAAGGATCAACCAACCATCAAGTCCATTGACAAACTTCACAAAGCGTCAACGTACCGTTATTGTTGCTAAGGGTATCCACTTGTCCATGTTAAAATGCAATATGTATTTGCAATTGAAAAGAGGTATTAGAATTTTAAGATTAAACAATTGCGACATAAACTAGCAAACATCTCTCCCGTAGATTATTCGAAATCGTTGAATTAAATGGCTTTCGAGAATCGTTTGATGAATTTTTTGATACATGAAAATCCAAGCAATAAATCGTTAAGCCTTTTAAGTTTATTTTATCACTTACCACTTAACTGAAACAAACAACTTTAGTTTCGTTATGCTCGACGTCAAATCGATGCATCAAAGTACGGTCATATTTCGAACATCTTTTAAACTTTGCAATGCAAAATTCCATTCAGTCAAAATGTCCCAACTGCAAACTTTCAATCCTAACCCTCCAATGTTTTTTTATAGATTCGTTGTACCCACAGGATGTTTTCATTCGGTCAGTATTCAGCCCAGCCCACGAAACAATGATATATTTCCACCATTTGCTCTGTTTTCCTCCACAAAACTTGTCAAATGTACCTGCTTATCGCAGGCGTTTAAAACCACCCGTTCTCGTATTATCCAAAAATGCATCGTCTCTTCGGACCGCGTCGATAAATTACATGAACTATTCATGCTAAAATGATTTTGATCTGTTTATTTGGAGCCATTAGTTTTTTAGAAAAAAGCTATATTATGTTCTATTCTTGTATCGCTACAGACAGCAATGGCTGACGAAAATGCTTGTAGATAATTCTAGCAGATATTTCTGTTTACAAGTGAAAGCACGTTTCGATGAATGTGGTTCTGGAATTTACGAAGGAGGCGTTTCTGTGATTCAAAAAATGCATGGAATTTCTCCATGGCTTTGCCTGCTGGCCCCATTTACCTTTCCACAATGCGTATTTCTTGAATAAAAGCAAAATGTTATAATCTTATTTTCTGAATGTCATCCAACGACTTTTGGACTTCAGCTGGGGATCAAACCAGGGGCTGTGGAAGCGGGGGTGGCTACGGGGGCTTTAACCCCCCCCCCCTATAATTTCTAAAATGTACTTAAAATCTACAAAAAACGCCCTGCTTTAGGTTGTTTAGCCCCCAAAAAGTTTTAGCCCCCTCAATCTGTAATGTGCTCCGCGGTCCTTGGGTCAAACCCATAATATTGTTTAAAGTGCTGATAATCAAATGTCACTCGATGGCACAGGCGTATCGGATGCAAAACATTTAGGGGAGCCTAGTAAGGGTCTTACCCGAATGCGATAAGGCAACCTCTATCCCATTTAAGACTCTATTTAGATGTCTAACTCGGGTCATGCTGCTTACTGCCGAGTGAGGCAAATTTGTTAACTTCCGCCATTTTAAATAGTGGCAAAAAGCAAGCTGCAATAGGGTTCAGTATGGAAAATTGCTTGTTTTAATGAATGATTTTCTCGTGGCTCACAACTATTTCAGTGCCTTTTCTGATGCAGGTAGTCAGAGGAGATATAAATCAACAACACATAACAATTTTTTGGGGTTTTTAAAGAGAATTTTGAAAATTATGGCTCTTTTAGTTTACGCAGTTACGGGGGGAATATGGCAGTGGCTTGTCGTGTTTTTATGAGTTGAAAAAGTGTGTTTGCAATTTTTATTTTCATAGAGATTAGAAAAAACTTTTTAAGTCTTTAACCTAATAATATAGACCATTTTAGATATATAATTCTTGAATTTTTCTGTCTGTCGTTTAGAACCTAATATGGCATGAGTAGGACAGTGCGAATGTTTCAAATTTCTTTCCTCTTGGTAAGGCCAAATTATAAATCTTTGTCGTGAAAGTGTACCCCGAAGGTATTTTATAGGCCTAAAGAGACGGAGAGGGACGCATTGTGCTGAAGAATAATTACAAGGAACGAGTGTGGTCAGGGGCGGTCTGGCCCGGGTGGCAAAGTGGCGATCGCCACCCGGGTCCTGTGTACAAAAAATTTACGGGCCTTTCCGCGTTGGAGAAAAATTTTAACCTAATGTCAAATACTTAATGCCCTAGACTGATTATATTGCGATTTAAGTCCCAATACATGTGCTTCAAACCACCCAAACCCTGGTTTCCGTTATTTCAGCCATGTGTTCAATCTTATGTGTACCCTGGGTCCCAGAGCCACAAAATTTCGAGCGCGTAAACAGAATGCCAAGCAGAGAAGCGAATGAGCGTACTCTTTTCTTCTATTTCCGCTCTCTAATTTATTTGGCTCTGATGCCCAGGGTATCTGACTGGCAGAGACAGTTCTTTGGTAACGAAATTCATATTGGGGAGGGGCGGCTGCTCATTGTATTTTTTTCCACTAAGTACACTGTTATACAGGACACAAGACTTAGGCTGCAATTATTGGGAGGGGGGCTTCAGTAAATGAAAATAACGTAAAATTCAAAACAGGAAATTCAGAAGAGAGGTGACAAGGGGTCGTCACTATCATCTGGTTACAGAGATCTGTATCAGGATTTAACAATGCTAAGAAGATTTGTTGACACAAAGATGAAGCAAAAGAGCAATCATAGAATGTCAGAATTGCTGGCATTTGCAAATTGCTACCAGCCAGCAGCTTTTCGATCAAGTGAAAACAACAACTGGTGGAAATAGAGATCCTGATAACAGATGATCTCAAGGAACAAGCTCTTAGAGAAGAAACATATGGAGAGGAAAACTGTGACTTTCAAGGTGGGGATTCACAAAGAGAAAGGACCCCAAAGTCGACATCGACACCTTTTATCAAAAGAGTAAAAGCTTGCCAACTGTGCATACCCTCCGCATTCAAAATTTGTACCGACGCTCATTTTTATTTTTTTATATATATTTATATCTTTTATCGTATATAACAATTTTATAAGAATATGAGCATCAAAACTGGTCAAAAGTTGAGATCAAATTAGGAACAAGCTAAGGCTGAGTTACTGTTAGTGCCTTTTTTGAACAACATTTTATCCCAAAACGAGGATTTTTAGCCATGTGTGGTTGCTTGTCGTCAAATGAAGGCTGTCTCACTCACTTTGTTGGCAAATAATGCCTGAACACCTCCCAAGAGCAAAAAAGCTAGCAATCGCACTGCTTACACCCTATTAATTTAAGAACAAATTAAGAACAATCAACGCTCGGATTTTTGCGAAAATAAGAACAGTCAGCCTGAATCTAAATTTACTGGTTTTTATAAAAAAATAGTTAATGCAACATGCACCTAGCAGCATACCCTTCCCTCTACACCGCGTATAAATGCTTGATGACACTAAGCTGCACCCAAGTTTCCTTTGAAAGATAATTCAGCGCTACTGATGATTTCAAAAGAAGAGAAAACTTTCCACTTGATTACGAGCAAGTCATTGGCCAATTTGCTGATTCATTTGCACTTCTTCGAAAATAGTTGAGACTCTGAGAATTTAAATAAGTTTTGGTCTTGATTCTTAACTCTACATGGGATTTTAAAGCCTGTTTACACGAGAGGAAAGGTATGGATCCAATTGAGTCCGAATTTACGAATTAAAGTCGATATACTGCTGCTGTTTAGCGTATTGCTTTATTATCAATTTTTATTGAATCAATCGTATTCTAAGCCACATTTTTAGTGGGTGTGGCTCAATTTTTCCCGCCACGCCCTAAACCGGTCCCTTGAGTTTTCTAGCTACCCTGCGATTTTGACGCCAGACCGTCCCTGGTTTCGAAGCTGCTCATATCTTGGCCATAGTGCTGGATCTCTCTCAGCCCGCCTCTTAATATGGTCTCTCTCGCACATCAAATTCTTGATGCTTGGAGAAATCCATGGTACATGTGCATGCCCCGTCTTAGCGATCCTTTTTTTCAACGTGGCATGCACATCCAAGACAGCAAGAAAGAGATCATAGAAATTGCTACCCATCCTATTAGGGTCATCCGATCTACATGACATGACATAGCCATCTCCCAGTCAATACTACGCAAGTCATTAAGGAAAGAGTCACGGTCATAATTTTTCAAACTGCGTGACTGTCTTAAATTTCACGTCATTGATATGAACTCTAGCGTTTAATTTTCTAATACCGTATGTCGTATAGTGGTCTGTCATACCGATTTTTACGAACGATACATTACAGAGGTTGTTGGGTCTGTTTGAAGAAAGGTGATCTATTAACTAAAAAGTTTTATTAGGCTCTTTAACTATATTTTACTTAAGTTGAGTGAGCTTCTGCTAGATGCCCAGAGCATCAGAGGGCAACTGATAAATTATTACTGAATGTTTTATCTTCGACAAGATCAAATTACGAAATTTACAGCAATGCTGACATTTACAGGAGATGTTTTGGTTTTGGTTCTGGGAATTTCGATTTGTTTTAAGTTTTGATAAGAGAGTCTTTCCGATGGTTATACGAGAATTACAATACATGAACTCTATATCGAACTGACGAGGTAAATTCACATTTTTTGAACAAAGCAGGAATCTGGGATAGCCGCAACAAGACATTCTCACAAATCCCAAAATTCAATACTGCAAATTTTGGAAATCAATGCTGTACGTTTTTAAATTAATACTGCTCAAAGTGTGTAATACTGCACACTAAAATAGGCCCTGGAAAGAGCATTATCATTCAAGAAAGAAACATGCACAAATTACATAACAAATATAGGCAACATTGTAAAAATCCTCTTTCCCCTAAATTATCATCTAACTTGCATCATTTATTGATCATTATGACCGCAAACCCTCCCTCCATCTTTGATTAGGTAATATGTGAACGTGCCCATACCCAACTGCCAACGCATCGATATTCTTATCCATATAAAACCATTCTGAATGGAAAGAACATAGGATTGTACTCAGTTAATGCTTCGAAAGTGAGAACCCTCTCAGCTATTCGATATCAGGCAATTAAAATAATTCGCATTAGTCATAAGGGAAGAAACTTATTTGCGTTGGTCATAAGTCTTGGTTAATCATAGGTCTTGGGCGTTTTTGAAGATATCGGAAAACTGTTCAATAAATTGTACAATTATGAGCAATTGGCAAAAAACTGGTGGAAATTTGATACATCATTGATATGGTTTTTCTGGATTTAATGGTGAAGCTAAACTAAACTGTAAAATCTATGACGCCGAAACCATAACCACGGCGAACTTTTTATGCAAACGTTCTTTCGAGAGGTCAATTGATGGTTGTAATCAATTTTAGTTCTGTGCGAATATTGATAATTGCCTTTCGAAAGTTCTTTGAAAAATATAACTCGAAGCAAGGGCGTACCAGGAAATTTTGCCGTGTCCTGGTGGGCCGAGATTCGAT